TTATTATTATTATATAAGTAATGATATAAATGTTGTCAACCATGCTTACTTAATGCTCCTCTAAGATTCTTTTCTTTTTCTTTTTAATCTTCAACCACATTTTTTTTCTTGACCATCAACACCTTTATCAGACTTAAAATTAATTTTCCGTGAAAGGAAAAATTCTATAAAGCAAGAAAACGCCTAATGAAAAGCAAGTTTGAGTATGAGAATAGTCACATTTTTGTAAGAAGATCATTATTTGATGTAATGATAAATTTTGATAAATTCAAGCATGAGAATAGTAAAATATCATAAAATAATTTCAAATTCCTCTATTTTCTCTCATTTGCCTGGGCATAACATATATTACATAATGCATGCAACCAAACGTTAAATTGGAATGATATGGTTGAGAACCATGTATGAAGTGAAAATGTAAAAAAGAACAACATGCTTAGCACCAATATATAAAATACATATATCTAATGAGAGATATACAAACACACACAAATATATATATATATATATATATATATATATATATATATATATATATAATAGATTTTGGAATATTGTGGGAATAATCATATCATTCTATTTTAAGTATATATTATTAGTGCAGTGCCGGCCAGGTCGTCTCCCAGATGAATCTACTTCTTATTAGTTGTGTGTTTGTATGTATGTATTGTCATTAAGCAAACATGGACGGCCTGCAATTAATGTAGTTGTATTTTTCTGCTTGTATTCTACCCAACTCGTCGTATTCTACACCAATTAAGAGATAAATGCTAGGGCGTTTTTGTTTTTATCCTATATTTTATATATTCTATATATTCATAGAATTGAAAATTTGGATTATCGAAATGGTTCAGAAAGAAGTAGTTAAATTCATAACTATTTTTTATCCAAACTTCTTTTTTTTTTTTTTTTTTTGGACGAAAGGGGGTTAACAAATATGTTCAAACTCGTCTTATTTTGAGTGTCAAATCATAATCTGTCTTTATATACTTTTTGTGGTAAAGAGTTAGTATCCCGATCAAGGAATATCGATTATTATTATTTTTTTATAAGAAGAAATAATAATTAATTATTTTAGTTACCAACAAACTCGTCGCCAAGTTGTACTTGTTCACCTCATAAAGTAAAAAAAAAAATAGAGGATTTGAATTTCTGGAATTAATTGTAATAAATATATATATATGTATAAATAAATATAATAAAAAAAATTATCATAGATAATTATATACAAGCGAAAAATACTTATATGTAAATGTGTGAATATAGTTTGTTTTTCTTATTTAAAAAAATGATAAAGTTCCAATACATATATGTATAAACATTTTTATTTAAAAAACAATAATAAAAAATTGGACCACACATCTATTATTTTTCTTCTGCCTTTTATGCGTTGTATACTTTTATTTTAATAATTAAAAAGACTATAAATAATAAATAAGGAGGACTTGGATCCTCTAAATTAAATTTTCTTTAAGTTATCCTAAGTTGAATTATTTGTATCTTGACACGTGACATTTAAAATTTATTTACTGTTTAACCACGTTAAATTTGAAAAATATATCGTTTTGAGATAATTAAAAATTACCAAAGTTTGAATACTGCACTGTTTTAATATTTTATTTCCCACCATTTTTGGCGCCTAGAAACTTTAGTTCACTCTCTTCTTTTTTTTTTAAATCTAAATTACAAAATTTCTCTCTTTTCTTAAATTTAAACTGCAAAATTCATTATAAAGGCTTTTAATTTGCACATTCATTTTTGGCACGAAATATTTCCTAATCGTGGGAATGAGCAAGAAGAGAGAGCGGGAGTGATCTTTTTCCTGAGGAGAGAGAAAGGTGTTAACGTCGTTAAAATATAGTGAATTTTTCTTATTTCAAACTATAGTAAAATTTTCTTATCTCAAAACGGTGCAGTTTTTAAACTTTCTTTAAATTAGTTGATATGCTTTACAACACAAGGCAGTAGATAAATTCTAGTTGAATTCAACTTAGAATAATTTATAAAAGATTTCACTTAGATGCAGAGAATTTAACTTATAAAAAATTTAACTTAGAAAATGCAAGTCCAAGGAAAGGAGCATTGTAAAGAGATGAAAGATTTTAGAATATTAAAAAATTTGAAGAAATAATAGATTGAGAATATTTGAGAAGGGTAAAGAGTTTGAAAATATGCATTTATTTAAGTGGAGAGTTCTAGTAACTAAATCATACAGATTGATTGTAATCTACAATAGCCGGTAGCAATGCCTGTATATATAGGTAAGAGTCACTTATGTAACAATAAGCTACAAACTCCAAAAGTATAAAACATTTAAAGTAATTTCAGAATAACCAAAATATTTTGGTAACTAAAATCATCTCATTTTAAATTGTTGATTTGTTCATATTGATTAGTTGGCGGATTTTAGATTAATTATGCACACAATCAACACTAAAATGTGTTAGAATGTTAATTTAATATGAACTTGTATTACTTGAATGATATTATATATATATATAACTATTTGGATAGTTTTAAAGTTGAAGGATAAAAAACAAATCTGTTTCCAATTATTTATTCATGTATTTATTATTATTATTTTATTTTATTTTTATAAAGAGACATGAAGATATAATTGGACACAATGAAGATATAATTGGACACAATCACATCTGTAATGATCTAGTTTCAGATGGTGGACTTACACAAAAAGATATTTTTTTACACAAAAAGATATTTTTTTTATATAACCATATAATACAGCTAATTTGAATTTTATTATTATTATTTTGGAAGATGGGAGGTTCAGTCTTATTATTATTATTATTATTTTTATTATTATTTTGGAAAATGGGAGGTTCAGTCTTTTAAAACATTTCATAATTCATCACTCTGTCATAATTATTATTAATATTATTATTTTATAAGATGGAAGTTTCAGTCTTTTAAAACACTTCATAATTCATCACTCTAATTTTTGGTTCTCAAATACAATCTATAAGATTTCTGAACCCATTAAGTAACAAGATGCTTGTGAGCCCATTAGGTAACATGATGGTTGTGCTAAATATTTTTAATACATACTAAATTTGCTATCACATTAAAAAGTATTTGGAAAAAGAGTATGATTGGATCATTAACATCTTTATTTATTTATTTATTTATTGTTAATTGACATAATGACAACATCTTTAGACATCTTATATCAAATAAGTTATATATATGGTACAAAGCTAAAGTTTGAAATTTTTTAATTTAATAATGAATGAAATGTGTGTGTTTTGTCCATATCTATCTTTTTTGGTCTACTGTATAACATGAGATAATGTGAACGCTTGAATGTTTTGTTGTCAAAAGGTTGTGTATGAGTCAAAAGGTTGTGCAAGGCTTCAAAATGAGGTAAATTGCTAAATGTCATATATTTGTCATTAAGTTAGGGCTTTTAAGATTATTCTTTTTGAATATTAAACTAAGAAAATATAATTTAAAAAAAAAAAAAAAAAAAAACTCATGACAATTATCATTTATTTCTAACAATCACATAATAGTTAGCAGTGGATATTATTGAGCAATTATAGTGTGTCAAAATAATGCATTAATGATATAAAGAATACTTAAAGAAAGCTAAATAAATTACAAATATTATTGAACTAATACAGTAACTCATTAATTCAAATAACTCAATTCAAATATCTAATTATTAAAGGTATTGTGGTCCAATGATATCTCTCTTACTGAGTGAGATGGTAAGAGTTCGAGTCTCCAAATAAGTAAAATGAGTGTGAGTGGTATATTTAAGTTTCTTGTCGATGAAAAAAAAAAAAAAAAATCTAATTAACTGATGTTCTGCTTACCGTCTTGGAAATGAAAAATTGAACACAAATTCACGGATTATGGAAGTTTAATACAAAGTCTAATTGTTATTATTATTATTTTCTAAATTTAAGAGATAATATTAGATTACTACCCTTATCATCTCTAATTATGAGACTCAAAAGTATGTCTTTTAAAAATAATTAGAGAGCTTGAACAAGATTTGATGGTCAAACCCCAGCCACAACTGAGTTGGAAGAACATGTGCAGGCATGCTCCACCACCACGTAGGGCTAGAGTTATCCACAAGTAGGAGGCTAAATTAAATACACTTGGTCTGAACAATAATTGAGAACCTCAAATCTATCCTTTCGAGTGCTCCATTACAACAATTTATATGCCATGTTCCTCTGCAAACTATGTCTGGACGTGATTGTGTTGTCAATTTTTGTAAGTTTTTTGGTCTCAATCTTTTGGGTTATTAATCATTACTGAATTTTGCATGTATTTGCTACAAAAGTGGACAGGTGGCGCCCTGGTGACCATGCCACATGTCACGCATATGTCACGGGTGTGAAGAGACTAGGAAAAGTTCATTAGGAATTTAATATGTTGGTGAGAAAAAAGAAGAAAAGTTCAAATTTTACAAGATTAAGGGTTTCAGATGGATGAAGACTATATTTTCACCGCATCATTAGGTATTTAAAAAATATCTACCTAAGAAATTTTAGTTCAAAGTTTAAACTGAATTTTTTTGTAAGACATTGATTTGGTCCTCTCAGACATAGAATTAAATTTAAGAGTAAGATAGGTTTGACACCTAAAAACACAATTGCAATTGATACATGTATACCATGTCTTTGTAACATGGCTTTCAACTAGGAGGTCGTCGTGTTATCAAATGCTTCAAATAACAGAATACCATACCTCCAAATCCACCTGACCACTCACAAGAGGCCACGCACTAAAAAAAAAGAATAAAACTTGCACATTTGCTTCCATGACAGCGTGTGATTAACCGAGACCATGTAGTCCCGGACTATGTAATAGTTCCTCTCAGGCCTCTGCAACTTCGGCTGAGTGAACATGACGACCATCATCAGAGGCCACCACCTCAAGGACGCATTCTTGTTCTGTATAAGCTCAAGACAAGGAAGCATTCTCATTCTGTATTCAATGGCAAAGTTTGCATTATCACATGTAGCTTTATGACAATCTTCTCATTCTTCGTTCAATTAGAGTAGGCAACACTATGTTTTGAATTTTGTTTTCAATACAAAAATACAATTCCAGCAAGCCATCAAACTGACTATATACAACATTAGATGAATTTAACAATTTTCACAAACAAGTGGTACATCCTATAAATTGCTTCACAGTTTCCATAGTTGTGACAGCTATGGTCATAAGCAATTTCAAACAGTATTTCCTTTATTGTATATGTAAGATTTTGCAAAGTACAAGTAGGCTACTATTTCGATTGCACTAAGTCCAGCAAGCAGCCAATAGAAGTAATCTAGATGCGCCCGATTCAGGTTATCTGAAAACCAACCGTCTTGACCATATCCACCAGTAGCTTTGTCGATGACAGAGATGAGAAAGCTGCTTAGGAAGCTCCCTATGCCAAAGATGCTAAGGTAGAGAGAAAGACCTATACTCTTCAATTCATTTGGGACCTGATCATAGAAAAATTCTTGCAGACCAACCATGGTAAACACGTCAGCGATTCCAAACAACAGATATTGAGGTACCAACCACCAGACACTCATTGGAACTGTTGCCTTTGGCATATCAATCAGCCCATATTCTAGAGCAGTTTCAAGTCGTTTCCTCTCAACTATAGCTGCAATTGCCATTGAAATTGCAGATAAAAACATTCCAGTTCCAATTCTTTGAAGCATTGTTATGCCCGAGGGTTTTCCAGTTATAGCTCTTGCAATAGGAACAAGAATTCGGTCATATATGGGAATGAAGAGAACAATAGAAAGGCTGATAAAGGATTGAAGTGTAGCAGCTGGTACATCGAAGCTTGATCCAATTGATCTGTCCATAGTAACTCCTTGCTTGGTAAAGAGAGTTGAGGATTGTGCAAATACAATAGCATACACCAAACATGTAGCCCATATGGGAAACAGCCTTAGAACTGCCTTTGCCTCTTCAACCTCGTTCATGCTAGAAACAGTCCCATATTCCTTGGAACCATCGGGTGCAAGTAAAGCTTTGTTAAGAAACCTGTTACAAACTCAAAATACAAAATTAAATGAGATCAAGTGGTTTCAGCGAGAGAAGATAGTTAGAGTGCAGCTGTGACAATAAAATTGATCCCATTATTTCAGCCACAAAGCACGAGGTGCTATAGAGATGCATATAGACAAGGCAAAAGACATCCTTGATGCACTACTGACACCAGCCAAAGTGACAATAAAGTGATTGAAAGAAAGTCTCGTGAAATTCTAGAAGGCCCGTCTATTAACATTGTCATCGGAAATAAACTGACTTGTTTAGATACTACCACGAATGATACGCAGTTATTCCAATGATCAGTGAAACTTAATGGTGAATTAATTCAATTTCCAAGGGACATCTAAATGCCTTTAAGAAGTTCTATTAATTTTTAGATCATTTTATGGACAAGAATGAAGTTGAGCGGATTCATGTTTCCAAATTTCGTAATATCAATAAAGTAATTCCCTTACTTGAATTGTTGAGAACCTAGGTGAGGCAGGGTTCCTCGAGCTTCTTCTTGAAGAGCTATGGCAGAAGGGGAAGTTCGCCAATTCCTCACTGCATTTATAAACACGTGACCTATTCTCAAAAAGGGACTTTTCTCATCACCTTTGATGCTAAACCGGTAAGTCATACTTCCAAGCAAGAAAATGACCAGTGCAATGGCCATGGCAACACATGGGATTCCAAAACCAAGACCCCAATTAAGGTTGTCTTGAATGTAGTTCAAGATCAAGAGCGTTATCAAAGTACCCCCACACATAGAAAAATACCACCAGTTAAAGAACGAGCTTTTGGCTTTGCACTCTTTTGGATCTTGTGAATCAAACTGGTCAGCTCCAAAAGCCTGAACGCAAGGCTTGTGCCCTCCTTGTGCCACTGCCACTAGATATAGTGCAAAGAAAAAGAAGATGACTTGGAACTGGGAAGAAGAACATGGCACATTTTTCACTGTATTTTGGCAGACAGAAGGGAGAACAGCAGATATGGTCAACAAGCCAAGTCCCTGTTCCCAATCCAAAGAGAATTAGCATTTCATAATGAAACAAATGTATAATCAGGATCACCGTGCTGAAGCACGGTCTTGTTCCTAACAATCAAGTCAGACCTATCCAATAAATCAAAACCTACGAATGATCATGAGTGGGGAAGGGAGGAGTTATTTCTCCTTAATCATGCTACTTTTAGAATTAGAGCTTTAAAAAAGTCGAGCTTGTTCATTTTAAATTAATCAGGCCATGAAATGTACTTCACATGGTCTACATGCCATGGTAACACTTGCATCACTATGCTACCAATAGTTTTGGAAGATCTGTACATCCTAACATGAATAATATTGTTAAAACTTTTTCCTGTGTATAAGTGTAATTTAAATACATATTGATGGGGTAAGGACCAAAAACCCTTGGCTTTAATATAAAGTTAGCGCAAGATCCGTTATCTAGACCTAGAGGGGAGTGCATACGTCTTACTTACTGTTTTAACTACTAACTTTTTGAATTTTAACTAAATCACAGAATTTTCAAATTCAAAATTAAAACTAAATAATGAAATCTAATCAATTCATCATGCTAATTAACATACCAATCAAGCAAAAAAAAAATTAAATATGTAAAAAGCATCAAAAGAGGACCATATTTTTACGTGAAAAAACCTAACGGAAAAAACTACAAGATCTAGTCCATGTAAACCAAATCCACTATGATAAAGAGATTTACACTAGATGAACGATACCCAAACCCTACAACTCCGAGTTGAGTCTTGATACAGACTGACCACTGAACTCCCCACTGCTGACTCCAACACACAGTCCACTCATTTTTTATATATTTTAACATGGTATCAGAGTCAGGTTGTTCTTGTAATCTCATCTAGAATTTGAGGGGGTGTATTTGAATTATTATCATGGAGCATATTCTCTATGTCTTCACATTCTTTTCCCGACATTATTCCGGACATTTCCCGGCTAAGTTTCGGCTTTTCCCAGCATTGTTCCGGCCATTTTCCCGACTTAGTTCTGGCCATTTCTTCCGGCATAGTTCCGGCTATTTTCCCCCGCGAGTTCCAGTTTATTTTCCCCAATAAAAATATAAAATAAAAATAAAAAAAGAGAAATGAGAGAATTGCGTAAAAGCTTGGATGAGATTTTTACTCATTCACAACTCTAATATTTATAGGTAAAAAGAGCACATGCTCATATTATAAGAAAGGAAATGAAATGAAATCTAAATCAAATTACAGAATATTCTATGGTATATTTTATAGTATAATCAAATCTCTGCTAATATGGTAAGTCATTCCATAAATCGTGGCTATCATATGTGCTAACATGAACAGATTTCGCTCATCACGAATTCTCTTCTCCAATCCATCTTTTAATCTCCAATGACTAGTTGCCCATTCCAATCTTGGTAAGATGGAATGACAAGTTGGTGTTCAACTCATTCAATATCAGTTCCACAGTAATTATACTCATAACACTCACCAATCTAATGCAATTGATGAATGCTAAAAGGAAAATATGAATGCACTCAATTTTGCTCAAAAACTCTCAAACATATAATACTCTCAATATATTTCAGTGTATTAAGGTTTGCCTGTGATAGTGTAATCATAGCGGAATCAGAGTTGTGGAGACTAGAGAGAATAATTTTTTAAGTGTTTTAATCTAAAAATGAAATTGTCTACTCAAGCAGTTCGATTGATCGAGAGACATGTCGATCCATCGACATGACTCTAGAAGCCCTCGATCCACACCTCAATCGATCAAACAAATTTGTCGCAATATGGTAAATGCATTAAAGTATCAATTTACCTTTATACCTTGGCTTTGAAGATTATGCTTTTACCCTTGGTTAAAACTTGACTTCCATCTTTAACTTGCATTAAGTCTTAAAAATCTAACTAAACTTAAAATCCAAACAAACTTACAGACTCTATTTTTGATTCACGAAATATGCCAACATAAGTCCTATTGACCTATATCAAATTATGGAAAAAGAATCTGTTGACCCCAAGGTTTCAACCCAATGGTGTTTGGGTAATTTTGATGATAACAAACTATTAATGTGTGAATTTTATATTCTACTGGAGTTTGGGTTAATCAGGTTTCAATCTTAAACTTGAAGAATATCATGGAAGACAAAGCTCAAGACCATGGGCAGTATTCATGGACGGAACCAGAAAATTGTGTGTGTGTGTGGGGGGGGGGGGGGGGGGGGTGTTGGGGTGGTGGTGGGGGGTGGGCAATAGTGAATTTTTTTAGTTTTTATTTGGTGAGAGCTAGATTCATTGTAATGTAAAGTAAATTTTGATACATTTTGATGAAAGCTCAAACCTAAGACTAAAAGGAAACTAGGACCTAATAATTGAAATGGAAAATATCATTTTAAAGGTATCTAGGATCATTGACTTTGCCCATGAACTTAGATTATTCATATCATAAGGGCATAAAGGTCATTTGGCAAGTTGAAAGCCACTTTAAAGTCAAAAGTTCAGCACTTTAAGACATTTAGTTGCCTAAGTGGTACACTTAAAACTTCTAAATGACCCAAAATAAAGTTGACAATTAGAAAAGGCAACTTAGTCGCCTAAGAGGGAACACTTAGTTGCCTAACCAGATATTCCAGTACCTAAGCCGAAAATTTGCAAAGGGCACTACGTCGCCTAAGTGGCCATACCTAGTCGACTAAATGGACATTTCAGTAGCTGAGTTAAAATTCAGAAAGGACACTTACACGCCTAACTTGTCACTTGAGTTGATGAGCCATTTTATTCTATTCAGACAATAGAACAGCTATTCTATCGCCCCTCGCCTGGACTTTACTTGTAGGGCGACTTCATATAAAAAGCAAGAGCTCGGTTACACTACCCACTACCCGTGAGATAGAAGTAGGGCACTTTACCCACCTCACCCCCAAGGCTTTCAGCAGCCAAGGAGGCAAGTCGTGCCAGAAAAGAACCCTCTCTTTTCTTCTTTTGATTTCATTATCACTTCGAGGTCACTTCGTTAAAAGAGATAGAATATCGATCTGTCATTCTATTTTTTATATTGCTCAGTGAATACTTAGCCAGGAATGCTATTTCTGTATTCTTTCTAGATTCAAGGACTAATGGTTGAATCAGCTAGTTCTCCCCTATGTCAATCAGTAGCTTTCCTTTCTACTCGTGCAATAAACAAGCGTATCAGCCCAATCATTCTAGTTCGAGACGCCTAAGCCCAGAAGATTGATTCTCTTTATAGATAGCTTCTAGCGCTGAGCGAAATATATCAAGTGTGCAGTGCACTTGTAAACTTTATTTTGACCGTCCCTCATTGGTTGTCCGTGAATTCCGTTATCAAGAAGTGTATCCACGGCTTCTTGTACCAATTTCTCCTGACACATTACTAATTCTCCTGAACGCCTATGCTGGTACACAGACACCTAAATGGTTTTTTTTCCAATAAGTTGCATAAATGTGGACAGGGACATTTAGACGACTAAGTGGGACACTCAGTCAACTAAATTGACTTCACAATTTAAAATTAACTTTTCAAATCCCCTCCACATGCTGGCCAAATGATTATAATTTCTAAAATGGCTATAAATAAAAGTTCCCTTGGCCTTTCATAATTATTTTGCTACATTTGAACAGTCTCTTGATCATTCTTCAGCGCTTTCAAACATTATTGTTTAGAGTTGAGCTATTATCACTTGCTTCGTCCAATTACTCTAGAGTGAGCTTTGATTTGCATATCTATCCATTGGGGGATATTCATTGTTCTACTCAAACACTTATCCATACTTGATTATTAGCGTAAAAGGGTTGGTGTAACCCTTCAAGACTAAGTGAGGTATTCACTTAGCAAGAGATGTGCTGTCCGCCCGATGAAGGAGAGTTGATAGTGGATTTTGGAATCCTCGAGAGATGTTCTTGAGGCATGAACGTAGGCCGAACCATGTTACAATTTGGCGTTCTGTGTGTTTGCATTTCTCTACCCTTATCTCTCTTTACTTTCAGCTTGTTTATTTTCTTCTTGTATTCATATTTGCTGAGTTTTTTCTTTTTATTTTTAATCAGCATATTTGCTTAGTTTTTCATTTGAATCAATTTAACTGAAAAGTTTATATAGTTTGTCAAAAGACCCAATTTGACCTGCTCTTGGGTCATTGTTTGGGCAGCAGAACCAATTTTGGCCTTTGAACATGTTATTGACCTAAAAAAATTAAGTATCTTAATGTATTCCTATACTATTAAAAAATTCATGTTGGAATATCATAAGTAATTTCTAGATTTGTAAAACAGTACTCAAAAATAAAAAGAAAAAACTGGGGATGTAAAACAGTAGTCAAAATTGAAATTTCTTGTATATTTGAAATTTCACGAAAAATAGCACATCGCTGAACTACCTAAGCTCATACCAAAGAGTAATATGTTAGCAAGTGCCCCTTATGTTAACGAACGAATAATCTTGTCTACCAATGAGCAGTGCTATACAAACCGAAAGTTGACCAATTCAGCAATGCAAATTCAAACTAACCAATGGATATCTTCATGTCATCTTTTGAATTGGCATATTGAAATAGAAGAAGTGAGTTAACTAACCAAGATGTAGAGCAAGGAAGCAATAATAATGGTCCGGTAACGTCCGAGAAATGAATCGGCGATGAATGCTCCTAAAAGCGGCAGAAGAGAAGCCGTGCCGGACCACGCATTGACGTTCGCCGCCGCCGTGGCCGTCGATTGGCCGAGCGGACCGGTCAGATAGGTTATTAGATTGGACGATATGCCATAATAAGCAAATCTCTCGGCGACTTCAACTCCTGGCATTCCATTAAAACTTTCTAGTTTGAAATTCACTTCTTTGCTTTTGAAACCCTAATTTAATTTGATGATGTAGTGAATTTGTTTTTACCTATGATGAACGATGCGGATCTCCACCCTCCCGACTTGGATCTGATGACCGGACGACCTTTGTGGTCAACGACGCCGTCGACGGCGTCGTGGAGCAGTGGAGCTTCGAACTCCGGTACGTCGGCGTCGGCGTCGGCACCGGTGAGTGTAGAGACGGCCATGTCTTCACCTAATCCAAGAAGAAACTTATTTCTTATTACACTACATAAAAAGCAGGAGATATTTCTGCAATTATTTTGGGCGCTTACATGTGGAACAGAATAATGGTTTATACAAACGTGCGTCAATGATTTTTTTTTATTATTATTATTTTCGGAAGGTAACGTGCGTCAATAATTGAGCTCGTTTTCTTAGACTAAATAATTTTTGTCTTTTTTTTAAAAAAATTTTTTTCCCTAAATAATAATTTATTATTTAAGCTTGTTAAATTCACAAATAAATTTGTGTATGAACAAGTTCATTAAAGTTTCATCCAAGTTTGTAGTTCATTAGATTTTATTTAAATTTAAAGTTTATTATTTACCTTATCAATTTGAGAAATTATTAAATATTTTTACATTTTTTTTTTTTTTTTTTTTTTGTCACACGAATCATTTATACACCCACTTTGTTTCTTTAAAGACGTGAATTTTCATCATATACTTTGTTTCTTTATAAACTCAACCATCACTATCCACTTTGAAAGATAGAAGAGATATCAAAAGATCACAAAACCCTTAATGTTTAGAGCATTTAATAAATTAGTTAAATTCAACTTTGGGAATAAAAATATATAGTCTTATAAATGTTTACAAAGAAATCTCAACAATAATTTTTATTACATTATTATACCAAAATTATTAACTGAAACCGTGACTGCACAGTCATGCTGTGATTGACTGTGCCATTGTAAAATATAAATTAGTAGTCCTATTAATAGGCCCCACCCAAAAAACCAAACTCCTAGGTAACGGTTGATCCATTGTGAAATCAAAATATTTCTACTCTTCATTTCCACAAAAAACCTTCCCTTCCTCTGCCTCTTTTGTTTGAAAAACCAGTGTTTCAAAACAAATGTAAGAAAGAAACAACTTTGAAGAACAACGGTTTCAAAACAAATCTAAACTCTTCAAGAATCTGTTACTTAAAATTAACTTCAACAAAAATTAGGCACATGTAGAAAATAAAAAAAAAAAAACCCAAATTTTAACGAGAGAGATTTAAATTATCTATTCAATACACATGTTGAGTGGCACCATCCACAAAACCCATCTTACACTTTCAATAGTCATCAATTATATCATTTTCCATATATATTCGAAAAGTTAAGAAATAACATTTTCCATAAATTAGATATAAATGCAGTGGAAGTTTTAAATTCGTAGTTACTTTACATTAAGTTGATCTAAAACCTTTCTCAGAACAATTCCAGATCATGTACCTCATAGCTGTCAATATAGTAGGATGATTGTGGTCTTTAGCAACTTCAAACATTACTCCCTCGATTGTATATGTAAGATTTTGCAAAGTACAAGTAGGCAACAAATTCCACTGCACTCAATCCAGCGAGAAGCCAATAGAAGTAATCGAGATGTGCTCGATTCAAGTTATCCGAAAACCAACCATCTTCACCATATCTACTGGTAGCTCTCTGGATGACAGAGATTAGAAAGCTGCTCAGGAAGCTCCCTATGCCCATGACGCTGAGGTAGAGAGCAAGACCGACACTCCTCAAATCGTTTGGCACCTGATCATAGAAAAATTCTTGCAGACCAACAATGGTGAACACGTCGGCAATTCCAAACAACAGATATTGGGGTGCCAACCACCAGACGCTGATCGGGACAGTTTCCTCTGGCTTATCAACCAGCCCATATTCTTCAGCGGCTTCAAGTCTTTTCCTTTCAACCAGAGCTGCAATTACTATGGAGATTGCAGATATAAACATTCCAGTTCCCACTCTTTGGAGCATTGTTATGCCTGAGGATTTTCCAGTGATGGCTCTTGCGATGGGAACAAAAATTCGATCATAGATGGGAATGAAGACCGCAATTGAAAAGCCGATAAAGGATTGAAGTGAAGCAGCTGGTATTTTGAAGTTCGGTCCAATTGATCTGTCCATGGTAACCCCTTGCTTGGTAAAGAGTGTTGAGGACTGGGCAAATACAATACCATAAACCAAACTTGTAACCCATATGGGAACCAGTCTTAGAACTGCCTTTGCTTCTTCAACCTGACTGGTGCTAGACACCCTTCCATCTTCCTCGGAACCATCCGGTGCAAGCAAGGCTTTGTTAAGAAACCTGTTGTGAACCCAAAACGAAAAATTTAAGGAGATTCAAGAGCTATTTCAACGAGTAAAAGAAACTTTTTAAGTGTAGCCATGACAATAAGATAGATCCCATTGTATCAACCATACATCACGAGTTTCACAGCCGGTACAAAAGGAGCAATATCGCATAAAGGACATGCTTAAATGTCATGTATCTAGAGCATTAGAGAACAAAGATGGTAAATACCACCAGATGAGAGTCATCACAAAGTATGGTCCCTGCTAATCAAGAACGCTAAGTTGGGTAGGCCAGTTACGGATCTAACCTCTGGCTTTACTCAAGATTTTAAACTTGCAATCTCATGCTATATAATCCACGCATTTCATGGGCACTGAGCAATGGCCCTAAATACCATCAGATCATCACCAAAATGATGGTAACAACTGACTGAAAGAAAGTCCTTCATGAAATCCTCCGGTGATCATTATTCAACAGTGATGAAAGGCAATTTGACTTGTTAAGATGCTACCATGATTATGAATGCAATTCACTCGTTTCAAATGAGAAGCAAAACATTATGGACTAATTTCAGTTTTCGAGATACATCAAAATTCCTCCACAAGTTATGTACTGTTTTGCAAATCATTTTATGGACAAGAATGAGGTCAGTAGGATTTATTTTTTCCAAATCTCATCATAACCAGAAAGTAATTCTCTTACTTGAATTGTTGAGAACCATGATGAGTTTGGCTTCCTCGCGCTTCCTGTTCAATAGCTATTGCAGAAGGGGTAGTACACCAATTTCTAGCTGCATTTACAAATACTTGAGCAATTCTCATAATGGGATTTTTCTCATCCCTTTTAATGCTAAACCTATAAGTCATACTTCCAAGCAAGAAAATGACTAGTGCAAAAGCCATGACAATACATGGGATTCCAAACCCAAGACCCCAATTAAGATTTTCTTGAATGTAGCTCAAGATCAAGATAGCTGTGAGAGCACCAACACACAAACCAAAATACCACCAGTTGAAGAATGAGCTTTTGGCTTTGCACTCTTTAGGATCTTGTGAATCGAACTGATCAGCTCCAAAAGCCTGGACACAAGGCTTGTGCCCCCCTTGCGCAATTGCCACGAGATATAGTGCAAAGAAGAATAAGATGACTTGGACCTTGGGAGGAGAAATTCGCGATCCTTTTACTGTATTTTGGCTTTCAGAAGAACTCGGAGAATAGAGCAAAGCAGATACTGTCAACAAGCCAAGTCCCTGTGATTCATCCCAATACAAAGAGAATTTGCATTTTATGATGAGGGGAGTATTACTCAGGATCACAGTACTGAAACACAATCTAATAGCCATTTCCTGATAATAAACTCAGATTTGCCCAATCAATCAGAAAATAAGTTCGATGTTCTCGTGATTGGAGAGAGGTGATGTGAAGAAGTCTCCTTAAGCATGCTAGTATTGCGTAAAAAAGTGCTGCCTCGTTTGCTTGGTCACACAATGAAATTGATTTCAAATGGTTCCTTGTAACTTATATAAGTTGAGATTTAACCTGTTATAGAATAATGGGAATCAAACGAACTGGTGAAAATCATAGTTGATCTTTTAGAAATCTATTAATCAACTTAATGGGCTAGCCGCATACGAAAAAAGGTGGTTTCCTATATCGAACCCATGACCTCCAGATTACAATGAAGCAACCTTACCATTGCGTCAAGGCCCACTCTCAACCTACAAATCAACTTCCAGTTCGTATTTCTTCACATTTCCAGTTACAATTTTACCTAGCTTTACATGTAAAATCAGTAGTCAAATGGGTCCAAGATTTGAAGGTCGTCTCCACACAGTCCAGATTATTAAACTACTCACTAGTATCGTGACAACTGAAAGGTCCCTCCAGTAGTACATTGTACTGAAAATTGTGAAGACATGAATTTGCAGTAACCCTTTTGAAGGTAAAATTCTTTTGTGCATTTTATTTTTCCTTTGCGCGGTTTGACTTGCTGTTTGACAGTACACAAACAGGCAAAGAAATGTACTGCATATAACTCCCAATACATTCCTAATTGGAGAACCAGATATACCTTAAATTACATGGTTTTGCTTAAGGCTTTACACATGAATACATTAAAATCTATGTTATAAATTTAGAAGACAAAATTTTTAACATGTATTATCATTACATATGGTAAATAATTTGAAAATATTTTCAACAACTTAATTAATTCAGTCTAATCCATTTTTTAGCTATTGAATCAGTCATTGATGGATTGTCATATAGGCATTTTTTTTCCGATCGCGGTGTTAAACCTCTTATAATACCCTATAGTCCACTACAGACACACATGCAGTCGCACTGTCCATCCCACATGCACTGGACAATTACCAAGAAATGTTAGATCCTTACTATTATCATATTATATTATCCCTTAACACCTTTTCTTTTCTTTTTTTTCATGCGAGGTAAAAAGCCTCCTTCCATTCTTTACCTTCTCTCTTCCAATTTTCCATCCTCCTTACTAAACAAAGCTTTATAGTTATCATTGTTTTATCTCTTCACTCCACTTGAGGAGGAAGTGAAGTGATTAATAAATATCATCCGGCTGGCTAGAGCCTTAGGCGAGTTAGGCCCTCGCCTAAGGTCCCGGCCAATAAGAAGGGCCATAATTTTTCATTTCTTTATATAATATAACTTTTCTAAAATAATTACAATATTTCTTTTAATTATTAAACTTTAACAAATTGAGAGATTCGATAGTTGATCTAAAAAATTCATTTTAAACAATTACCTATTTATGTTGTTTAACCTTGAAGAATTCATAATAGGATTTATTCTAATTGGTAACTTATAGGATTTATATTAATTGGTAACTTATTTTATTATTTGGTAAATTATTTTATCTATAAATGATTTGAAACATCTTGATTGAATTTCAATTAAACAATTACCAATTTAATTTTAATTGGTAATTTATTTAATGATTTGAAACATCTTCGTTGAATTTCAATTAAACAATTACTTATTTAATTTTAATTAGAAATTTATTTTATTATTTGGTAAATTATTTTATTAAAATAATTACCTATTTAATTATTTTAATAATACGTAACTTGTTTTAGGTGTTTTAATAGTTTTATAAAAACTCTTTTTTAAAAAAAAAATTCATTTTATTTATAATAACTCCCTTAATTTAATTCATTTATTTATAGAAATTATTTTATTTTAATTTATTACTCCATATATGTTTCAAAGAACATAAAATTCAATTAATCACAAAATATGAAAATCTGGTGATTTGTTTTTCAAATCCCATGAATTCCGACAAGAATTCAACCAATTTGAAAACTAAAGAGAAAGAAGTGAGCAGCTACTAACCAAGATGTAGAGCAAAGAAGCGATGACAATGGTGCGAAATCGTCCCAGAAATGAATCGGCAACAAAAGCTCCCAAAAGCGGCAGAAGCGCCGCCGTCCCCGCCCATGCATTCAAATTCTCGGCCGCCGAGGCCGTTGATTGGCCGAGCGGACCGGTCAGATAGGTTATAAGATTGGCCGATATGCCATAGAACGCAAACCTCTCGGTGACTTCCACACCTACAATTCAATCAAACTCTTTCTAGCTTGAAATCCACTCCGTCATTTAATCTGTATCTATCTATCTTATTACCTATATGTGTGTGTCTGTGTTTGTGTTACCTATGATGAAAGATGCGGATCTCCATCCGCCGGATTTTGATCTGCTGGTCGAACGACCTTTGTAGTCTACGACGCCATCGACGACGGTGCCGCCGAGCAGTGGAGCTTCGGGCTCTTCGGCGACGGCAGAAACCGCCATTTCTTCACCACCTCCCACTCACACGTAAACCAATAAAAGAGGCGAACTTAAAATATTAGTACTATAAGAGACAGACGTGTTTGTGTACTTTCAATGTCATCTTTTTTCAATACAATAATTACTACATGTTTCATGAGTTCAGGAAATTATAACACTTTATTTGGTTTTTTTGTTTTTTTATTGACAACAACCCCTCCCAACCATTGGAGGCAAATAGTGAGTGAAAATAATGTACAGCAACTAAAAGATTACGGTTGACTAAAAGATTTCGGTTAATCATTACTATGTGTCTGTCACGTCTGTGACACGTTAACAAATGTGTTAAGTTTTATTTAAATTATAGGATGAAGTACAGTCAGATCCTTAAGGTTCTACAAAATGACACTCAGAATAAATTTACCTGTTTTTTAAGACAAAGATATTTTTTGAAAGTTCCAAAATAAACAAAGACACTCTTTTATATGAAAAATTGATCAAATTACCCTTTAACTATTTAAGAGACTTTTTTAACTTTACAATTTAATAAATTGGACTATATACCCTTGTGAATAATTTCCGTATAAAAAAAAAATTAAAAAAAAAAACTTTATATTGTTCACTTATTTTTTTTCTTTTTCTTTTTTTTCTTTGTTATTTACTTTATAAATGTATTTCAAATAAAAAAGAAAGGCATGCATAAAGTTAAGATGCATAACGTTATACTAGTACATATTTTCTTTTATGTTGAAAAATGCATAATATTTGATATATAATTTAAGATGCATAAAGTTATATTGGTACCATATTTTTTATTTTAAAAGAAAAGAGATTGGTTTAATTTTTTTTAGATGAAAGAATTAAGCATCTTAATTAAAAAAAAAAAAGTAATAACAAAATATAATTTATTTGAAATATATGTATTGGATCAAAAAATCGTCTACATTTTTAAGAAGTTGGGACATTTATAGAGTAAATAACAATTTTTTTTTTTTTTTTTTGGTTACTTTTTTTTTTATGCATAAATTGTTCATAAGGGTAGATTGGTCCAATTTATTAAATTGTAAATTTAAAAAAGTCTCCTAAATGGTCAAAGGGTAATTTGGTCAATTTCTCATGTAAAGGGGGTGTCTTTATCCATTTTTAAACTTTCAGAGGGTGTCTTTGTTCAAAAAATATATAAATTTCATCTGAGTGTCCTTTTACCAAATCTCAGGGGGTGTGATTGTACTTCACTCTAAATTTTAATTTGTATGTTGAATTGTAATTGGTTAATATTATATAGTCCCATGTCGTATAATAATTTAATTTTTTTTCCAAATGGTCTCATGAAAATTTACAGATTAGCTTGGAATATGTGTGTGTGGTTGGCTTTAGGAAAAAAGTAACAACAGATTTGAGTGTTCCCATTCAAAATTATATTGTGATTGCGCTGCTAACTGCAAGGAAGGAAAAATGGTTGACTATCTCGGTTATAAGGTGCAGTATGGTTGGAATTGGAGGGTAGGGGAAGGAAAAGAGAATAAAATAGGTAATGGTAGGAAATGAAATACTATTATGTTTGGTATTAATTTTTAAAGGAAAATTAAAAAAAAAAAACTTAGGGATTTAAAAGGATACAAATTATACAAGATGTGTTAGTTTTGTTATTTCTAATAATGGGAGGAAATAGAAAGAAAGATTAACATTTTTAATTAAACTTTGTTAATACCAAATTTAATCTTATTTTTATAAAATACAAAATTTATGAAAAATAGTGTGCTAGTAAATTTATTAACATACTTTCATTTCTTTTCTTTTTTCAAACATGATTAGTATTTTTTATTTTCTTTTTCTTTATTAATCAACCAAACACTATAAATGAGAAGTGCCTAACAAATACCACCTTAGTCCAACTTTGCGGATCCAATTAAAGTTAGTATATTCTGATTTTTTTCATATAGCGATTTTGGTGAAATCACACAATATCCGTGTATTTTTACTTATGATAATTTTGAAAACAAAAAACAAAAGTAAGACGGTTAATATCATAAAAATTCAACTTCTCATAACATACTCTCCATCTTTTTCTCTATCTAGAAACCTCCACCGACCCCCTTTTCAGCCGCCTCCCACTTTGTCTTCCCCTTCTGGTTTCTCCCTTCCATGAGAGTGGGGAGATGATGTTTCTTGCCTCTCACAAGCTAAATAAAATCGGCGCGTGGTTTTCATGCTTTGTTGCATCTCTATGCGAGTGGTTTTCATGCTTTGTTGCATCTGTACCGTTCTTTATGGTCTTTTATGGATGTGTTGTGTAGATGCCTCATGAGTCATGACTGTTCTCTTAAAAAAATAAATAAATAATAACATAGACGAATTTAACTTAGATTTCCATTCCTGTAAAATATTAGTATTCGGTTCATGAGTTCAAGACCTACCATTGGGAATGACTAGTCCGAAATGGAGTAAGAAATGCGATTCACCATCGAAAGGTACTTTATACCATGACCTTGGATATTTTCATTTCACGTATATTTAAAATTTTAAATTAAGATGTAAAAGAATCATCAACTACGTCAAGATTTAAGTTCATAGTGTCTTCTTCACATTGGCATACAGGCCATCTAAAACCTTTCTCAGAACAATGCCAGATCAGGTACATGATAGCTGTCAATATAGTGGGATGATTGTGGGGTCTTCAGCAATGTCAGATATTACTTCCCCGATTGTATATGTAAGATTTTGCAAAGTACAAGAAGGCTACCAATGCCACTGCACTCAATCCAGCAAGAAGCCAATAGAAGTAATCCAGATGTGCTCGATTCAAGTTATCCGAAAACCAACCATCTTCACCATCTTCACTGCTAGCTTTCTGGATGACGGAGATGAGTATGCTGCTCAGGAAGCTCCCTATGCCCACAACGCTAAGGTAGAGAGCGAGACCAACACTCCTCAAATCGTTTGGCACCTGATCATAGAAAAATTCTTGCAGACCAACAATGGTGAACACGTCGGCAATTCCAAACAACAAATATTGGGGTGCCAACCACAAGACACTCATGGGAACAGTTTCCTCTGGCTTATCAACCAGCCCATATTCTTCAGCGGTTTCAAGCCGTTTCCTTTCCACCAGAGCTGCAATTACCATGGATATTGCAGATATAAACATTCCAGTTCCGATTCTTTGAAGCATTGTTATGCCTGAGGGTTTTCCAGTGATAGCTCTTCCAATAGGAACAAAAATGCGATCATAAATGGGAATGAAGATAAGAATTGAAAAGCCAATGAATGATTGAAGTGCAGCAGCTGGTATTTCAAAGTTTGATCTAATTGATCTGTCCATGGTATCTCCTTGCTTCGTAAAGAGAGTCGAAGCCTGCGCAAATACAATACCATAACCCAAACATGTAGTCCATATGGGAACCAGCCTTAGAACAGCCTTTCCTTCTTCAACCTCGCTAATGCTAGACACCCTTCCATCTTCCTCTGAAGCATCGGATGCAAGCAAGGCTTTGTTAAGAAACCTGTTGTGGACCCAAAACATAAAATTAAAGGAGATTCAAGAGCTGTTTCAACGAGTAGTTTTCAAGTGTAGCCAAGACAATACAATAGATCCCATAATTCAACGGTGATAGAAAGCAATTTGGCTTATTAAGATACTGCCATGGTTATGGATACAATCAACTCGTTTAAAAAAAAAAAAAAAAAAAAAAACAACCATGGACTAATTTCAGTTTTCAAGGGACATCTAAATGCCTCCACAAATAATTTATTGCTTTCCAAATCATTTTATGGACAAGAATAAGTGTAAAACCCTAAAATTTCGTACATTATTTTTTTTTATTATTTAGTATTTAGTATTTAGTATTTTAACGTGATAGTAGAGATAATAGAGTTTTTCTTTTAAAATTTAAAACTTTAAATAAGAGTCCTAGGTTATCTCGAATGCAGTTATATTTATCCTTTATATTTTACATCGTATCGGTACGAGGATATTATTTTTGAATAAAAAAAAAAGAAGAAAGAAATTAACGAGAGAGAAAGAGAGGAAGCGGGTTACTGATTTTTTGTTGGCAATCTGCAGTAGCCGAAAAAAGAGACGGTGACCAAAGGATCGGCTAGAGAGAAAGGTTTAACGATATTTAACAGGCAAGTTAACCTTGCTTAATGTTTACCCATATATTATTTATAACTTGATTTGTTTCATATTCTTAGGATTATTATAATATTATGATCCGTCATTAAGATGATGAATATAGTAGTATAAGTGTACTTCTGCAATTTTTTTTTTAATCCAGACAATTATCTTGGGAGTTAAATGGTGGATTGTGTTAAGAAAGGGATTAAAAGGAAAAGACTAGTCAATGTGAATTGATCGTGGATGAGTTCGAATGTATGAAACATATTCTACATGTTATTAGATTACTGGGATTAGTACTTATACTTGCATATATTTTTATATGTGGAGTAATGCATATGATTTTATATTAAATAAATAAAGGGATGAGAAATTTTAGTTGTGTTTTTCTTTTATTATCCAGTAAGTTTTAATCACATATGGATGAAGTATTATATATGTGGAGATTTTGACTAGGGAGGATTTAGTTTGATTGATCAACTTAAGTAATATATATGTGGGATAATTAATGATTGTTTAAGCATGTTTTTAGGGGTGAACAATTCTTAGTAATTATTTTGGGTTTACGTACTTGTCTTACATATGCACTGTTATGATCTAGACATGACAGATTGTTATTACCATTATGTACTTATATATAAATAAATTAGTAGGTATTGATCTCAATGATTCGTACTTGAGCGTAATGGATCAAAAGGTGTAGTTGTAGATTAATTAGTAGTCTGGATTATGTGTTGATCTCATAAATGTGATGGGTATGTGTTGGAGCAGTTGGAAGGTGTTCAGTATAATTAAATAAGCCAGTGATGTTTACTTATAGATACATATATGCCATAGTGACCAGTTTTTTTAACTAAGGAATCAAAAGACTCAATTATAGCACTTGAATCATTATTAGTGAATAGAATTAGTAATCATTGGGTTAAATGAATGAGAGTGCTGTTAAATAGCAAATCAATGGGAGGTTATTGTAGTTTTTTTTAGAGTTGATTGGTAGGATAGGAAACTAAGATTTTAGGTATGTGATGTATACGATAATTAATTATTTATTTATTTATAGTGTTTGTTGAACTCATGAATTTATGAGTTATGATTATTTTAAAGGTGAAAGAGCATTAATTAAATTAAGCAATGCTTTGGTTTTTAATTGGGATAATTGAACTTAACGGAGCTATAGTCAAGGTGTAACCCAATGATGAGTTTGTTGAGCACGGTCAGGGACCGCCTACGAGAGTGAACTACCCTTTTGTTATGGCCATGGGTCTAATGAGCCCTTATTATGTGGACGTGATCAGGGATCATCTGGGGAGTAGACGTACAATCCAACCACACGTGTGTTTTTGGTAGTCAGGGACTATACGATTCAGACCATTTTATTGGACGGGAGCCCGAGGCTCATGTGAGATATGCCGATTTATTAAAAAATAAAAGATGGTTATTTATTAAGTTTATAACTAACTGGGTTATACACATTTGAATAATGAACTTATTTGAGTTGCTTATATATACAGGAATATAAGGTAAGGTTAATTTGCTGAATGATGATTGTGTTTAGCATTTATTGCTGAGCTTGTGAGCTCACCACATTATCATATTTCAGGTACACGTTGAGTAGGAACGTGATGGGATTACATGATGGGAACGGATTTTAGCTCGTTGCGCATTGATTTATTTTAGCTCGGTTTTTCCTTTATTCTGAATATTGTAATAAAGTTAATGTTTTATGAAACTTTATTGAGTTGATTCAATGGTCATAGATGTTTTGTTTTACTAGAGGGAATTGCACCTCTATTTATGGATTTGTATAAAATTTGTCAGACTCTCATGTTTGTTAAGTTGAATGACGGGATTCATTGTAGTTCTATTATGGAGGATGTACGTTGAGAATTGATGGAAGTTATACCTTAGATTTTTTTATGCAGGACAAGTAGTTCTTGTATTAAAATTTGGGGTGTGACAGTTTGGTATCAGAGCCTAGGTTAAGAATTACCTGGCTAAGAGAAGTGATAGTAAGAATAGGAGCATATACTTATACGAATTATTGCTCTCTTACCATGCTCCAATTTAAGTATGAATTACTTGTGAGACTTATCATTGACATTCTTTACTGGAAATAGGATGTCAGGAGCTGGAAGAGGCAGAGGACGACCTGCTAGAGGTAGAGGTCAGGGAGGTGCTGGTCGTGGTGGTGTTGACCATGACAATGTTCAGTTGGAGGATGCACCTCATGTGCCAAATCCTATGATTGGATTTATCAGAGATATCCGCAAATTGGGGGCTGTTGAATTTACTAGAGCTACCGATCCACTTGATGCTGAGAAGTGGATTGAAGATATGGAAAAGTATTTTAAGATGATGAACTGCACTGAGGTGCAGAAAAGGAAGATTGATGCATTTCTTTTATCTAGTGAGGCGCGCCAGTGGTGGCAGTCAGAGACCAGGATGGTTGTGGACATTACAACTATGACCTGGGATGATTTTAAAACTCGGTTCAATGACAAATACTTTCCACAATCAGTGAAGGAGAAGAAAGCAGCAGAGTTCACGCAGCTGGAACAGAATAATGAGATGTTAGTTAGTGAGTACGAGAGGAAGTTTACAGAGCTATCCCGATTCGCTCCTCACATTGTTGCGAATGAGTTACACAAGGTTAGAAAGTTTGAGCGAGGATTGGTCTCTTTTGTGAAGAAGTTTGTGGTGGGTCATCGTTTTGACACTTATGCTAGAGTGGTGGAATGTGCTATGGCAGTAGAGGAGAATAATAACATTGCCTTTCAGAAACAGAAGAAGCGTAGGGCAGAACAGAAAGGTAAGGGGGCTAGCAACACTCAACAGAATCAGAGTAGCTCTCAACAGAATCAGAGGGGTCAGCAGCAGCAGACTCAGAGAAACTGGCAGGGTCAGTCTTGGCAGAGAGGTAGACAAGATTGGCGAGCAGGGAAACGGCAGAGAGTTGGTGAAGGTGAGCAATCCACAGCTTTAGTACCAGCCACACCTCATGATGCACAGCCATATCAGTTCAGCGGGCATTGCTACAATTGTCGTGAGCAAGGACATTTGGCTCGTAATTGTCCCAAGCCTCACAAGAATAACCAGCAGAAAGGTCAGGCACCACAGCAACAAGGAGCTGCAAGGGTTTATGCAGTTATTCCAGATGGGAGACAGGATCGTGCACCACCAGCAGTGGAAGGTACACTTACTATTTATGGCAGTATAGCTAGAGTACTATTTGATTCAGGTTCTTCATATTCTTTTATTGCACTATCATTTGTGAATACACTGGGATTAGAACCTGGACATATAAGTAATGCCTTATCTATTACAACTCCACTCGGGAGCGCGACGACACTTGATAGAATATGTCGTGCTTGCCCTGTTACAATTGGGGATTTGGAGTATCCTATTGATTTAATAGTATTACGTATGAGAGAATTTGATGCTATACTGGGTATGGATTGGTTGGCTAGATATCATGCTCAGTTGGACTGCCATGAGAGGATTATTGTATTCTCAGTTCCGGGACAGTTTCTTTCTCGATATAAGTGTGGGGAGTTTGAGGGCACCATGACTATGGGATTTCTGGCCCATATCGAGGTGGTTGAGCAATGCGTGACTATAGAGCAGTTGCCTACAGTGTCAGAGTATGCAGATGTGTTTCGGGATATTCCGGGTTTGCCTCCTAGGAGGGCAGTGGATTTCTGCATCGACCTCACTCCTGGTATTTCACCTATCTCTAGGGCACCCTACAGAATGGCGCCAGTTGAATTGAGTGAGTTGAAGAAGCAGACTCAAGAGTTGCAAGATCAGGGGTTTATTCGACCTAGCACATCACCGTGGGGAGCACCTGTTCTTTTTGTCAAGAAGAAGGATGGGTCACTCCGCTTATGTGTTGACTACCGTGCGCTGAATAAGGTCACTATTAAGAACAAGTACCCATTGCCACGCATCGATGATTTATTTGATCAACTCAGAGGGGCGCAGTTGTTCTCTAAGATTGACTTGAGGACTGGGTACCATCAGCTGAGGATTAGGGATGAGGATATTCCTAAGACTGCCTTTAGGACTCGTTATGGCCTCTATGAGTTTTTAGTCGTGCCTTTTGGGTTGACTAACGCTCCGGCAGCTTTTATGAATTTGATGAACCGAGTGTTTCGACCTTACTTGGATCAGTTTGTTGTGGTATTTGTTGATGACATTCTGATATATTCCAAGACTAAGGAGGAACATGAGAGACACTTGAGCATTACACTTCAAACTTTGCGTGAGCATCAGCTCTATGCTAAGTTTGAGAAGTGTGACTTTTGGCAAGAGCAGATTCAGTTTTTGGGGCACCTGATCTCTAAGGATGGAGTTTCAGTAGATTCTGCCAAGGTGGAGGCTGTGATGAGTTGGAAACGGCCTACTACTGTCACTGAGATTCGTAGCTTCTTAGGACTGGCAGGATACTACAGGCGTTTCATTGAAGGTTTCTCCAAGATTGCTGCACCATTGACCCGTTTGACTCGGAAGGATGTGAAGTTTGTTTGGGATCACCGCTATGAGCAGGCATTTGAGGAGTTGAAAACGAGATTGACTTCGGCACCAGTTCTTACCATTCCTGTTAGTGGTGAGAGATTTGTGATTTACACAGATGCATTACATCAGGGTCTTGGCTGTGTTTTGATGCAAGATGACAAGGTGGTAGCGTATGCCTCTAGGCAGCTTAAGCCACATGAGCAGAATTACCCTACACATGATCTGGAATTGGCAGCAGTGGTTCTTGCATTAAAGGTGTGGAGGCATTACTTGTATGGCGAGGAATTTGAGTTATTCTCTGATCACAAGAGCCTCAAATACCTCTACACTCAGAATGAGTTGAATATGAGGCAACGGAGGTGGATGGAGAAGATGAAGGATTTTGATATGACCCTTCAGTATCATCCTGGAAAGGCTAATGTGGTAGCGGATGCCTTGAGTCGAAAACCGAGAGGATTAGTTGCCTTTATGATGATTCAGGAGTGGATGATGTTAGAGGCATTGGCAGAGTTTTCTATAATGCCGAGTTCTCAGAGTACAGGGGCTCTTCTTTGTAGTTTGACTGTACAACCTACTTTGATCAGCCGGATCATTCATTCTCAGACTCAGGATGCCAGGTTACAGACCAAAGCAGTTGAGGCTGTTAATGATGAAGGTAATGTTGACTGGACGTATGGAGCTGATGGTGGTATGAGTTTTCGAGGTAGGCTATGTGTTCCAGACTTAGCAGACCTCAAGAGAGAGATTTTAGAGGAGGCACATCACTCTAGGTACACAGTGCACCCAGGTGGCACTAAGATGTATCATGATCTTAAGAGGCAGTTCTGGTGGGAAGGCATGAAACGTGATGTGGCGGAGTTTGTATCTAGATGTCTCACTTGTCAGCGAGTGAAGGCTGAGCACCAAAGACCAGCAGGACTATTACAGCCTTTGCCTGTGCCTGAGTGGAAATGGGAGCATGTGACGATGGATTTTGTTGTGGGGTTACCGAGGTCGATACATAACCATGATACAGTGTGGGTGATAGTGTACCGATTGACTAAATCAGCTCATTTTCTACCCATTCGAGCTATTGATACTGTAAAGGAATTGTGTAAGATCTACATTAGAGACATAGTTAAGCTTCATGGAGTGCCGGTGTCTATTGTCTCAGATCGTGATCCTCGTTTTTCATCTCAATTTTGGAGTAGTTTCCAAGCAGCTTTTGGTACTCCTTTGAGTTTGAGTACTGCTTTTCATCCTCAGACCGATGGCCAGTCCGAGAGGGTCATTCAGGTGTTGGAGGATATGCTTCGTGCTTGTGTGCTAGATTATCGGGGCAGTTGGGAGGATCACATTCCATTGGTTGAGTTCGCTTATAATAATAGCTATCAGGCTAGTATCGGCATGGCACCATATGAGGCACTTTATGGTAGACCTTGTCGTTCACCTGTATGTTGGGCTGAGGTTGGTGATGGTAGTCTTTTGGGGCCAGAGTTGGTGCAAGAGACTACGGAGAAGGTTGCCATCATTCGAGATCGACTCCGCACAGCTCAGAGTCGACAGAAGAGTTATGCAGATCGACGCCGTTGTGCTTTGGAGTTTAGTGTGGGTGACTTGGTGTTCTTGAAAATATCACCAATGAAGGGGGTTACGAGATTTGGCAAGAAGAAAGGGAAGTTAGCTCCTCGATTCATTGGACCTTTTGAGATCACAGAAAGGATTGGGGAGGTAGCGTATAGATTAGCTTTACCACCCAGACTATCTACTGTTCATGATGTTTTCCATGTCTCCATGTTGAGGAGGTGCTTGAGGGATGAAACTCAGGCCATTGACTGCACAGAGGTCCAGATTCGTCCTAATGCAACCTATGTTGAGATGTCTGTTCGCATTGTTGACAGTATGGTGAAACAGTTGAGGCGGGCAGAGTTACCTTTGGTGAAGGTGCAGTGGAATCATCAGGATGAGAGAGAGGCTACTTGGGAGATAGAGTCAGAAATGAAGGAAAAGTACCCACAACTCTTCGAATAAGGTATGCAAATTTCGAGGACGAAATTTCTTTTTAGGTGGGTAGAATGTAAAACCCTAAAATTTCGTACATTATTTTTTATTATTATTTAGTATTTAGTATTTTAACGTGATAGTAGAGATAATAGAGTTTTTCTTTTAAAATTTAAAACTTTAAATAAGAGTCCTAGGTTATCTCGAATGCAGTTATATTTATCCTTTATATTTTACATCGTATCGGTACGAGGATATTATTTTTGATAAAAAAAAAAAATAAGAAAGAAATTACCGAGAGAGAAAGAGAGGAAGTGGGTTACTGATTTTTTGTTGGCAATCTGCAGTAGCCGGAAAAAGAGACGGTGACCAAAGGATCGGCTAGAGAGAAAGGTTTAACGATATTTAACAGGCAAGTTAACCTTGCTTAATGTTTACCCATATATTATTTATAACTTGATTTGTTTCATATTCTTAGGATTATTATAATATTATGATCCGTCATTAAGATGATGAATATAGTAGTATAAGTGTACTTCTGTTATTTTTTTTTTAATCCAGACAATTATCTTGGGAGTTAAATGGTGGATTGTGTTAAGAAAGGGATTAAAAGGAAAAGACTAGTCAATGTGAATTGATCGTGGATGAGTTCGAATGTATGAAACATATTCTACATGTTATTAGATTACTGGGATTAGTACTTATACTTGCATATATTTTTATATGTGGAGTAATGCATATGATTTTATATTAAATAAATAAAAGGATGAGAAATTTTAGTTGTGTTTTTCTTTTATTATCCAGTAAGTTTTAATCACATATGGATGAAGTATTATATATGTGGAGATTTTGACTAGGGAGGATTTAGTTTGATTGATCAACTTAAGTAATATATATGGGATAATTAATGATTGTTTAAGCATGTTTTTAGGGGTGAACAATTCTTAGTAATTATTTTGGGTTTACGTACTTGTCTTACATATGCACTGTTATGATCTAGACATGACAGATTGTTATTACCATTATGTACTTATATATAAATAAATTAGTAGGTATTGATCTCAATGATTCATACTTGGGCGTAATGGATCAAAAGGTGTAGTTGTAGATTAATTAGTAGTCTGGATTATGTGTTGATCTCATAAATGTGATGGGTATGTGTTGGAGCAGTTGGAAGGTGTTCAGTATAATTAAATAAGCCAGTGATGTTTACTTATAGATACATATATGCCATAGTGACCAGTTTTTTAACTAAGGAATCAAAAGACTCAATTATAGCACTTGAATCATTATTAGTGAATAGAATTAGTAATCATTGGGTTAAATGAATGAGAGTGCTGTTAAATAGCAAATCAATGGGAGGTTATTGTAGTTTTTTTTAGAGTTGATTGGTAGGATAGGAAACTAAGATTTTAGGTATGTGATGTATACGATAATTAATTATTTATTTATTTATAGTGTTTGTTGAACTCATGAATTTATGAGTTATGATTATTTTAAAGGTGAAAGAGCATTAATTAAATTAAGCAATGCTTTGGTTTTTAATTGGGATAATTGAACTTAACGAAGCTATAGTCAAGGTGTAACCCAATGATGAGTTTGTTGAGCACGGTCAGGGACCGCCTACGAGAGTGAACTACCCTTTTGTTATGGCCATGGGTCTAATGAGCCCTTATTGTGTGGACGTGATCAGGGATCATCTGGGGAGTAGACGTACAATCCAGCCACACGTGTGTTTTTGGTAGTCAGGGACTATACGATTCACACCATTTTATTGGACGGGAGCCCGGGGCTCATGTGAGATATGCCGATTTATTAAAAAATAAAAGATGGTTATTTATTAAGTTTATAACTAACTGGGTTATACACATTTGAATAATGAACTTATTTGAGTTGCTTATATATACAGGAATATAAGGTAAGGTTAATTTGCTGAACGATGATTGTGTTTAGCATTTATTGCTGAGCTTGTGAGCTCACCCCATTATCATATTTCAGGTACACGTTGAGTAGGAACGTGATGGGATTACATGATGGGAACGGATTTTAGCTCGTTGCGCATTGATTTATTTTAGCTCGGTTTTTCCTTTATTCTGAATATTGTAATAAAGTTAATGTTTTATGAAACTTTATTGAGTTGATTCAGTGGTCATAGATGTTTTGTTTTACTAGAGGGAATTGCACCTCTATTTATGGGTTTGTATAAAATTTGTCAGACTCTCATGTTTGTTAAGTTGAATGACGGGATTCATTGTAGTTCTATTATGGAGGATGTATGTTGAGAATTGATGGAAGTTATACCTTAGATTTTTTTATGCAGGACAAGTAGTTCTTGTATTAAAATTTGGGGTGTGACAATAAGTTCACTAGTTCCAAATCTTGTCAAAACCAGAAAAATTAATTCTCTTACTTGAATTGTTGAGAACCGTGATGAGTTGTGCTTCCCCGAGCTTCCTCTTCAATAGCTATTGCAGAAGGGGTCGTACGCCAATTCCTAGCTGCATTTATAAATACTTGAGCAATTCTTGAAAAGGGATTTTTCTCATCCCTTTTAATGCTAAACCTATAAGTCATGCTTCCAAGTAAGAAAATGACTAGTGCAAAAGCCATGACAATACATGGGATCCCAAACCCAAGACCCCAACTAAGGTAGTCTTGAATGTAACTCAAGATCAAGAGTGCTGCCAAAGTACCAACACATATACCGAAATACCACCAGTTGAAGAATGAGCTTTTGGCTTTGCACTCTTTTGGATCTTGTAAATCGAACTGGTCAGCTCCAAAAGCCTGCACACAAGGCTTGTGCCCTCCTTGCGCAATTGCCACTAGATATAGTGAAAAGTAGAAAAAGATGACTTGCACCTTGGAAGAAGAAATTAGCATTCCTTTTTCTGTATTGTGGCTTTCAGAAGAGCTCAGAGAAGTAAGCACAGCAGATACGGTCAACAAGCCAAGTCCCTGTGATTCATCCCAATACAAAGAGAATTGCATTTTATGATCAGGGGAGTATCATTCAGGATCATGGTGCTGAAACACAATCTAATATCCATTTCCTAATAATCAATTCAAATTTCTCTAATCAATCAAAATTTAAGTTCTAGAATGTCCTTGTGATCGGAGAGCATCAGAGGTGATGTGAAGAAATCTCCTTAAGCGTGCTGGTATTAGGCGTTAAAGCTTTTAGAAGTGCCGGCTCATTTGTAAGGCCGCAAAATGAAATTGATTTCAAATGGTTCCTTGTGATTTATCTAGGTTGAGCTTTAACCCGTTATAGAACAATGAGAATCAAACGAACTGGTGAAAACCATAACTGATTTTTTAGGAACCTACAAATCAACTTGCAGTATGTATTTCTTCACATTTCCAGTGACAAATGTACCTACCTTTATATGTAAAATCAGTAGTCAAATGGGTCCAGAATTTGAAGGTTGTCTCCATACACTCCAGATTCTTAAATTACTCACTAGCATCCTGATAATTAAATGGTCCCTTTATTGTACAGAAATTTGTGAAGACATTTGGATGTGCACCCAACCCTTTAAAGGTAAAATTCTTTTGAGAAATTGAAACACTTTACAAATCAATCGGGTGGATAGCAAAGCCACAGTATTTTTCCTTCTTGCTGTTTGACAGTACACAAACTGGCATAGAACTTCCATGACATTCCCAATCGGAGAACTAGAATTTAACTTGTATGGCTTAAATTATATGGGTTTTGCTTAACAATTTATACATGAATACATTAAAAATTATATTATAAAATTTAAAATACATCATTTTTAACATGTATTATTTATACACATAGTAATTGGTAGAGAAGCAGCAAGTAGAGGACAGTGGCAGCATTTTAAAATGTATAAAAGGCGTGGGTAAGAGGATTCTAGAGCTCAAGTCTTTATTTGGCACATAGGAGAAGTGGGGTCCACTTGCAGTCTTAAATAATGGGGGGATTGGGTCAAATTGCATAATACTTGCATCAGTTGGTAGTAATTACAATTATGAGGTAATCCTAGAGTCAAATATGGATTACCTCAATTATGGGATGATTACAGTTATTATGTTATAGAGTCGACTTTTGATTATTTTAATTATGGGGTACTCCAAGGGTAATGAGCTGCACTCACATAATGTTATAAATGGGGCAGAATGTAATCTTGGGGATCCAGTCCATGAATGAATAAAAAAAGTGTTATTAAATTTTCTTGGTAAGTGATTCACAAGATATGAGGGTGTGAGGCCTTCCCTAAGTGTGGTGCCTAGACCCTATTGGGGTGATTCCAATAGGATTTTCTTATTTTCAAATCCTTTCTATCTACTAACACCTCTTGAACCCCAATCCTATTCATTTGAATTTCCAGCCAATAAACCCCTCTTTATTTCAACCATTTGAGGCTGCACCCTTGTCCTACATCCGTAATTTATCTGAAATTTTTTCATCAACTAGCATTGGTTTAGTCCAATCTATTTGTTAGCTATTGGATCATTGATGGATTATCATATAGGCTCTTTTTTTTTAGGGTCTTGTAATGATAGGACATGGGCGTCCCATTGAGGAGAAGAATCATAAAAGAAGTAGTGGAATCAACCCCGGGAAACTAAGTACTATTTTCTTTGGTGAGGCGAAAAGCAACCAGGTCAGGTTTTTCTTAAGACTTTTTCTATTGCTTTGCATTCTATCTCTTATCAGAGGTTGCCTATTCTTAACGGTCAAAGCATCGTATCGAGGACTCAAAGAGATTCTTTTCCCTTGAAATTGGCACAAGAGGGACAGTGGTCTTAGACGCGCACTAGTGTCAGGATGAGAAGGCTTACCTATTTCTCAAAATACAGCTGTCTTAGAAAACTTCGTAGTCCACAATGGGCACATGCAGTCTTACCGTCCGTCCCACATGCACTAGACAACTACCATAAAATTTTTCAGTGTCTTACTGTCAATCACACATGCTCCATATAATTACCAAAAAAAAATTTCAGAATGAGCACAAGGGAATTCGATTTGCCAACCTCCAAGATTGTATGAGAGCCTTCCTATTAGTTTAGACTATTCCTTTACTCCTTTTCACACACAAGGTTAAAAGGCTCCTTCCATTCTCTACCTTCTTTTTATTGAAATATAAGTATTGAAAAGGAATATAATATATATGTATAATATAATATATTATATGTATATATGTATATTATAATATATATATATTATATGTATTTCAATAATTTTTTCCAATTTTTTGAAAAATTATTACATGATCCCAAGACCAACGGTCCGGGCCAATTACTACTTGATATGTAAGTAAAAGAGCCAACATTATGTCAGACTTACTGTGAGAAATTATTATATGGTACCAGGACCATTGGTCCCAGACCTATTATGAAGTGACACATAAGTAAATGTGTCAGTTTTATGTCAGTTTCAATTAACATTTTTTTGCTTATGTGTCGCTTTGTGATTGGCTGGGATCAATGCTCCGGAACCATGTAATATTTTTTCATTCTATTTTTTTTCTTACATGTCATGTAGTGATTGGCAGGGAGGAATGGCTCATGTAATAATTTCTCCAATTTTCCATCTTCCTTACCAAACAAATCTTTATAGTTATTAGTATTGTTTTGTCTCCATACTCCCTTTCTCTGGTTCATTAAATGCGCCTAACCAACAACCTCTCTCCCCAATCTATTTCAGGAGGAAGTGAGGTGATTAATAAAAATAATAGTAATATTTATGCTTCTAAATCTCTAATTTAAAAATTATCTAATTTGAGATCAAAAGAATAAGATTTAATTGATCTCAAAATCTGAAAATCAGGTAATTTTTCAAATCCCATGAATTCCAATTCTGGTGAGAAGAATACAATCTAAATGAAAACTAAATACTAGAAGAAATTAAGTAATAACTAACCAGAATGTAGAGTGAGGAAGCAATGACAATTGTGCGAAAACGTCCGAGAAATGAATCGGCAACAAAAGCTCCCAAAAGCGGCAGAAGCGACGCCGTCCCCGACCACACATTCACGTTCTCGGCCGCCGAGGCGGTCGATTGGCCGAGCGGACCGGTCAAATAGCTTATAAGATTGGCCGATATGCCATAGTAGGCAAACCTCTCAGCGACTTCCACACCTGCAATTTCCATAAGTACTCTTTCTAGTTTGAAATCCACTCCATGTAATCTCTATCTGTCTGTTGACCTAAGTGTGTGACTGTGTGTGCTTGTGTTACCTATGATGAAAGATGCGGATCTCCATCCGCCGGAATTCGATCTGCTGGCCGGACGACCTTTGTAGTCTACGACGCCGTCAACGACGGCGCCGCCGAGCAGTGGAGTCTCGACCTCTTCGGCGACGGCAGAAACCGCCATTTCTTCGCCACCTCCCTCACAGCTAAACAAATGAAAAGAAGTACTGATGAACTTAAAATATTGGAAGAGACACAGAGTTGTTGCATCGTTACTTCTTGGGGTTTTGCCCGTGCCAGACAGTAGTGGTAAAGGTGCGTTTGTCGGGAGTCACTTTCAAAAGTCATTTTTCATTGTTTCATGAGTTTTGACTTATGGGGAAGGCTTCCGTCTCCCGGGGTCCAAATGGTTTCCGAGTTAGGAAGATTAAATGGACTAGCTTGGAGTATGTATGTTTCGCTTTAGGAAAAATACTTTTCCCAAACGCAACTCACAATGGCCAAAAAGTCGACGAATCCAACAATACTTTTTATCTGCAAACGTGACATCTTTTTTATGATAAGGTATACAATTGTCCATCAATTTTCGTTATGAATAATTTGACAAAAAAAGGATAAAATGTAATATACTAGAACTATTGTCTTTTTTTGCAAATAATCTCTCTCATCTGAATTATTGATTTATTATAATTAAAGACAAATTCATCTCAAATAATTATTGACACTTTTTCTCGTTACATTTTTCATTTCTTATTAAATATTTTTTACTATTTTTCTCTTATTTAAATATTAATTATACCATTTATATTAATTTGTTAATAGTATCAATTTATCATAAATAGATTTAAAACTATCATTTTTTTAAAATGATTAACTTATTATTAAAATTTTATTATTTACGGCAAAACTTTTTAAACTCACTTTAAACTTTATTACCATAAAAATACTTTCTTTTTCATGCAATGTATTCATGAAAAACTAATAAATACTTAAATAAAAAAATTCCTTCTTTTTTTATACAATATATTCATTAAAAATTAAAAAATTACTTAAATTGTTTTAAAATTTTCTACTTAAAATTTTAGATTAAGTATAATTCAATAAGAAATAGTATTATACTCATTTAATGATGTATAGTCAAAGTATTAGGGCATTTTGCAACTAAATATGTTAATTCAAAGAGTTTTATGCACAAAATATATTTCTAGATAGTTATTTGCAAATTTCGACATAGTTCAGGAGTTTTTTTTGCACTTTACCCACAAAAAAAATGATATAATTGTCATTCAATTTTTGTTATTAATTGATATGTTAAATATAGAATCAACTATTTAAATGAAAAAGAGATTTTTTTTTTTTTTTTTTTCTGTCAAAAAATCAATTAGTTTTTATATCATTACTCTTTACGAGTATGCAATACTTATTATTTCGGGAAAGCAATATAGTTATTTTAAGAGCGTAACACAAGTTAATGATGCAACAAATCTTACTTCAAAATTGGAAGACCCGACACCAAATACTCCGAAAATAATGAATGTCTCATTTCTCAATGTGGTGTATTGAGTGTTAAAAAATAAAGGAAATAGTAGGAAATGAAATACTATATGTTTGGTATTAATTTTTAAAGGAAAATAAAAGAAAATGAGGGATTTGAAAGGATACAAATTAGAAAAAAGTTTGCCTTAAGTAAGCTCTCCTTCTAATGTTGACATGAATCAATAACAATATGACATGTGTCAAAAAACAATTAAACTTCAATCATTTTGATCTTTTTACAAGTCATCTAAAAAGGAAGAGAATTTTTTCTATAAATTATACGCATTTGTAAACAAATGTTAGGGGAATTCGATTTGCCAACCTCCAAGATTGTATGAGAGCCTTCATATTATTTTAGACTATTCTTTCTCCCGCGGGGTTAAAAGGCTCCTTCCAATCCCCACCTCATTTATTTCAAATTTTTGAGAAATTATTACATTATCTCAATACCAATGGTTCCAGGGTAATTACTACTTGACATTGTAAGTAAAAGAGTCAATTATATCAGATTTATTGTGAGAAATTATTACATTATCCGGGACCATTGCTCCAGCAATTGCAAAGCAAACACATTAGCAAATTATGTGTCAGTTACATGCCACTTTCAATTAACATTTTTTGTTACTTATGTGTGGCTTTGTGATTGGCTGAATCAATGTTCATGTAATAATTTTTCATTTTTTTTTTTTTTTCCCTTACATGTTATGTTGAGATCAAAAAGAACGTAAGATTTAATTGATCACAAAATCTGAAAATCAGGTGATTTTTCAAATCCCATGAATTCCAATTCTGGTGAGAAGAATACAATGTAAATGAAAACTAAATACTAGAAGAAATTAAGAAACAACTAACCAGAATGTAGAGCGAGGAAGGAATGACGATGGTGCGAAAACTGCCGAGAAATGAATCGGCAACAAAAGCTCCCAAAAGCGGCAGAAGCGACGCCGTCCCTGACCACACAATCACGTTCTCGGCCGCCGAGGCGGTCGATTGGCCGAGCGGACCGGTCAAATAGCTTATAAGATTGGCCGATATGCCATAGTAGGCAAACCTCTCGGCAACTTCCACACCTGCAATTCCATAAGTACTCTTTGAAATCCATCTATTTATCTCTTGACCTAAGTGTATGACTGTGTGTGTTTGTGTTAGAAAGATGCGGATCTCCATCCGCCGGAATTCGATCTACTTGCCGGACGATCTTTGTAGTCGACGACGGCGCCGCCGAGCAGTGGAGTCTCGGCCTCTTCGGCGACGGCGGAAACCGCCATTTATAGGCCCATGTATGATGGGCCACAAAAGAAAAAAAATATACATGCTAGGAAAGGGAACCGCCATTATTATCATCTCGTTCTCAAAAATTTCAACAGACCCTCGACTCTCGAGCTTACCCATTACCCTCTCTCTCTCTGAAAGACTGAAGCAACAATCAAAAGTTATTTTTCCTCAAAAATCAGAAGTTCAAAACAGAAAATTGAAAACATCACTCATCACAATATCACAGCATCGCCTCTCTCGCCGGCAGCCGGCTTGCCGTTTGCCAGTTTGCCTTCTTTCAGTTTTCCACAGGTCTCTCTCTCTCTCACCCATCTCATTAATTTTCTAACACATACACACACATATATATTATATATATACACACACTAAATATATCTTATTAATTATTTGAATCTTTAATTGCAGGAAAATTCGGTTCCTCCAGGCTTCATTCAATTTCTCTCTCTGGAGAATCTGCCTCCTTGCCTTTATTGGGTATGTGCTTTCTAAATTCTAACAGTCATATTTAGCAATATAAATAAAAATTATAAACAAAATATATAATTTTTTGATAACAAAAATTAATAAAACTATAAACTAATTTAAGTTATAGAATGATAAAAGCTGATTTCTAATAATTTGGTCATATGCTTAATAAAATATAATATTTAAAATCTTCTTCTGGAGTGAGATTGTAAATTGTAACTGTGGAGAAGATGAAAAAAAAAAAAATTATAATAAGAGAGGAGAAAAAATATGCTAGGAATAAAAAAAGAAAAAAAAAAGAGAGAGAAAATAAAAATTAATAAGAGTCTTAGATAGATTTCTCCCGTACCATCATTATATTTCTAAAAGTAATATAAGCCCTCTTTGTTAGGCCCGTTGTTAGTGAGATTTGTTATTTTGATTTAATTTGTCTTATTCTTCTGTGTGAACTGTGAAATCAATAAATTTATTATAAACTTGTAATACAGGAGTTCCAAACTTCCAGCAATCCTTCACTTGAAGATATATTATTTAGTCACATTTACTTTAATGAAAATTTTGCACTTTTATAATTTTATTTAATTAAAAATTATTATTATTATTTTTTTCACTGTAAAACTTATATATAGAGAGCCTCACATTTATAATTAGCCTAGGGCCTCTCAAGATTTTTTCAATCTTAGGGCCGGCCCTGTTTCTTCGCCACCTCCCGCACAGCTAAACAAATAAAAAACAAGTACTGATGAACTTAAGGGTGCGTTTGGATAGGAGAAAAAAAGAAAAGAAATAAAATAATAGTAATAATTTATATTCATGTTTAGATAAATAAAGAAGAAAATAAAAGAAATAATAGTTATTCTTATTTGAATAAGATGAAAGAGACAAAACAAAAGAATAATAACTAAATTACGGTAGGACTTGAATGGAATAATTTTCCTGTATATTAATTTTGTAGAGGTTATTTCATTATAATTTCTAATCCTATCTTCTCAAAGTAGGAGAGAAATCAAATAAGGAACAAGAACGGATAGCTCTCTTTATCCTCTAATTTTTTTTTATCTAATCCACCCAAACCCACTTACACCCTATTATTGGGAGAGTTGCGTCGCCTTTTGAGTCAGAGTTCGGCTCTGCGGGCTCTGGTATTAACTGAAAAGAGTGAGTATTTGTCTAATTATCCAAATTCGACATGGACAAATATCACCAACAACTAGCTTGGAGTATGCCTGTTTTGCATGAAAAATACTTTTCCCAAACGCAACTCATAAGGGTAGGTGACCATGGCCAAAAAGTCAACGAATCCAACAATCCTTTTTCTTTGCAAACGTAACATCAATACTATGAATTTATGATAAGGAATATAATTGTCCATCAATTTTCGTTATGAATATATATGACAAAGAAAGGATAAAGTGCAAAGTACCCGAACTATTTGTCTTTGTGTAAGTAATCTCTCACTGAATTATTAATTTATTGTAATTAAAGTCAAATTTATTTAAAAAGACTATTTTACTATCTTTTCTTTTATGTAAATATTAATTATATTATTTATCTTATTTTTTTACATAAAAATAAATAAATTTGTAACTACGGTTCTAAAATGATTAACTTATTATTAAAATTTTATTATTTATAGCAATAAATTTATACTCACTTTAAAAAAATTTAAAAATACTTTCTTTTTCATGCAATATATTCATGAAAAATTAATAAATACTTAAATAAAAAAATACCTTTTTTTATACAATATATTCATTAAAAATTAAGAAATTACTTAAATTGTTTTAAAATTTTCTACTTAAGAAGGTAAATTTAAATTTAATGAAGAATATGTCATCAAACTAGTATGAAATTTTTTACATAATTTATTTTAATAAGAAAAATAGATTAAGTGTATTTTAATAAATAAAAAATTGTATTATAGTCATTTCATGATATATGGTCAAGGTATTGGGGCCATTTTGTAATAAAATGTGATACTTGGTGAAGTGTTATGCACAAAATATACTTCAAATAATTATTTGTACATTCTGACATAGTTCAGGGATTTCTTGCACTTAACCCACAAAGAAATGATATAATTGTCATTCAATTTTTGTTATTAAGCAATATGTTAAATATAGAATTAAATATTGAAAATGAAAAATGAAAAAGAGTTTATTTTCTTGTCAAAAAATCAATTAGTTTTTATATCATTACTCTTACGAGTATTCAATCTCGTTTCAGGAGAGAATGATGGTTGATATAATAAGTGCTCAAAAACTAATTAGAGAAATATCTACAATTTTTATATATAAGCACTCCAATTCTAGCATTTTTCATAAATTAGATACAATGCACAGGAAGATATAAAGTCGATCTAAAACCTTTCTCAGAACAATTCCAGATCATGTATATCATATATCTGTCAATATAGTATGATGATTGTGGTCTTGAGCAATTTCAAATATTACTTCCTCGATTGTATATGTAAGATTTTGCAAAGTACAAGAAGGCAACCAATGCCACTGCACTCAATGCAGCAAGAAGCCAATAGAAGTAATCCAGATGTGCTCGATTCAAGTTATCCGAAAACCAACCATCTTCACCGGTAGCTTTCTGGATGACAGAGATGAGAAAGCTGCTCAGGAAGCTCCCTATGCCAATGACACTGAGGTACAGAGCCAGACCGACACTCCTCAAATCATTTGGCACCTGATCATAGAAAAATTCTTGCAAACCAACATAGGTGAACACATCGGCAATACCAAACAACAGATATTGTGGTACCAACCACAAGACACTCATGGGAACAGTTTCCTCCGGCTTATCAACCAGCCCATATTCTTCAGCAGTTTCGAGTCGTTTCCTTTCAACCAGAGCTGCAATTACCATGGAAATTGCAGATATGAACATTCCAGTTCCCATTCTTTGAAGCATTGTTATGCCCGAGGGTTTTCCAGTGATAGCTCTTGCTATAGGAACAAATATGCGATCGTAAATGGGAATGAAGAGAAGAATTGTAAACGTAGTAAATGACTGAAGTGAAGCAGCTGGTATTTCGAAGTTTGATCCAATCGATCTGTCCATGGTGACCCCTTGCTTGGTAAAGAGAGTTGAGGACTGCGCAAATACAATACCATAAACCAAACTTGTAACCCATATGGGAACCAGCCTTAGAACTGCCTTTGCTTCTTCAACCTCACCGATGCTAGACACCCTTACACCAGCCTCTGAACCATCGGGTGCAAGCAAGGCTTTGTTAAGAAACCTGTCGTGAACACAGAACATAAAATTAAAGGAGATTCAAGAACTATTTCAACCAGTAAAAAAAAGTTTTCAAGTTCCATGACAATAAGATAGATTCCATTATATCACCACACAGCATGAGTTTCTCAACGGTAACACAGTAAAGGTAAATTTTTGTTTGTTTGGCCTGGTAATTAGATACCACAGCTGGTACAAACAGAGCAATATTGCATAAAGGTTATGGTTAAATATCCCATGAGATTTGGAATAATGGTCTTGTTGTACCTGGAGCATTAGAGAACAGAGATGGTAAATGCCACCAGATGAGAGTCATCATACAATATGGCCCCTGCTAATCAAGAATGTTAGGTTGGGCAGAATGGATACGGACCTAACCTTTGGCTTTACCTAAGATTCGAACTTGCAATCTCATGCTATAAAATCCAAGCATTTAATGGGCATCGAGCAATGGCCCCTAAATACCACCAGATCATCACCAAATCATGGTGACAGCTGATTGAAAGAAAGTTCTTTATGAAATCCTCCAATGTCCATAATTCAATGGTGTTGGAAAGCAAATTGACTCATTAAGATATTACCATGATTGTGAATACAATTGACTCGTTTCAAATGAGAAGGGAAAAAAAAAAATGCATGGACTAGTTTCAGTTTTCAAAATACATCTAAATGCCTCCCCAAGTAATTTATTGCTTTTAAAATCATTTTATGGACAAGAATGAGGTCAGTAGGACTTATTTTTCCAAATCTCATCATTACCAGAAATTAATTCTCTTACTTGAATTGTTGAGAACCGTTATGAGTTGGGCTTCCCCGAGCTTCCTCTTCAATAGCTTTTGCAGAAGGGGTAGTACGCCAATTCCTAGCTGCATTTATAAATACTTGAGCAATTCTTGAAAAGGGATTTTTCTCATCCCTTTTAATGCTAAACCTATAAGTCCTACTTCCAAGCAAGAAAATGAGTAGTGCAAAAGCCATGACAATACATGGGATTCCAAACCCAAGACCCCAACTAAGGTAGTCTTGAATGTAACTCAAGATCAAGAGAGCTGCCAAAGTACCGACAGATATACCAAAATACCACCAGTTGAAGAATGAGCTTTTGGCTTTGCACTCTTTTGAATCTCGTGAATCGAACTGGTCAGCTCCAAAAGACTGGACACAAGGCTTGTGCCCTCCCTGCGCAATTGCCACGAGATATAGTGAAAAGAAGAAGAAGATAACTTGGACCTTTGGAGAAGAAATTGGCATTCGTTTTGCTGTAATTTGGCTTTCAGAAGAGCTCAGAGAAGTAAGCACAGCAGATACGGTCAACAAGCCAAGTCCCTGATTCATCCCAATACAAATAGAATTTGTATTTTATTATCAAGGGAGTATTATTTAAGATCAAGGTGCTGAAACACAATCTAATATCCATTTCTTAATAATCAACTCAGATTTCTCCCATCAATCAAAAATTGAGTTCTAGAATGTCCTTGTGATCGGAGAGCATCAGAGACGATGTGAAGAAATCTCCTTCAAGTGTGCTAGTATTAGGCGTTAAAGCTTTAAAAAGTGCCGACTCATTCGTATGGTCACTCAATGAAATTGATATCAAATGGTTCCTTGTAACTTATCTAAGTTGAGCTTTAACTTGTTATGGAATAATGGGAATCAAACGAACCGGTGAAAATCATAACTGATCTTTTAGGAACCTACGAATCAACTTGCAACATGAATTTCTTCACATTTCTAGTGACAACTTTACCGAGCTTTACATGTTAAATCAGTAGTCAAATGGGTCCAAGATTTGAAGGTTGTCTCGATACAGTCCAGATTCTTAAACTACTCACTAGCATCCTGACGATTAAAAGGTCCCTCCATTGTACAGAAAATTGTGATTTGGATGTGCAGTAACCCTTTTCAAGGTAAAATTCTTTTGAGGAATTGAAATACTTTACAAATCAATTGGGTGGACAGCAAAGCCGCAGTATTTTTCCTTCATGCTGGTTGACAGTACACTGACATATAAATGGACTGCATAGAACTTCCATGACATTCCCAATCGGAGAACTGGAATTTGATAATTTCTATGCCTTCAATTGCATGGGTTTTGCTTAAGGCTTTATACATGAACACATTAAAATTTATGTTTGAAATTTGAAAGACAGTTTTTAACATGTATTGTTAATATATACAGAGTCAATATTTTGATAATTTTTTAAACAACTTGCTTTGATTTAGCTAATCCATTTGTTAGTTATTGGATCATTGATGGATTATCATATGGGAATTTTTTGTAGACTATGGTCGTGTTGATTGTTGAACCTCTTCGAACATCCCATAGTCCAACCCGAGTACATGTAGTCTTACCATCACAACTGTTGCAAAAGTGATTTTATAATGACGAAAGTGTCCCTTAATATAAATTTTAAAAAATGGTGCCCCTTAATATGAGTTTAAATTTAGTACTAATAACTCATTCGGCATAGTGTAGTTAAAAATTATTTTCAGGAAAAAGAAAAATTTAATGGTGCGTCTTTAAGAAAATGAAAATGCCTTAACAATTTTAAAAATTTTATTTTCTAAAAGGAAAAGAAAACCTAAAATGAAAATCTTTTTAAAGAAAACCTAATTTTTCTTAAATTAATATAAAGGGGCATTTATGTCATTATAACATCAGTTTAATGGAGTGTAATTTTCAATTTTAAAGGAAACCTAGATTTTCTTAAATTTATATTTAGGGGCATTTTCATCATTATAACAATCTGTGTATGGTCCAAGTGAGATTTTAGCTCAATATTTTTTTGTAGGGGTTTTGTGCCAAAAATTAATTTACCCTTGTTTATCTCTGTACTCCACTTTCTAACCAGAGTAAATATCTAGGTGCGCAAGGCATACCAACTCAATGTATGTCCTCCCAATCAAAATTCACAATTCTAAGCCGTTCTTATAAGTAAGTGGGACCGGAGTTTTGATTGATTGAACATTCCAATAACATGTTATTCCTGCTGCTACCTATATTTTCTCCAAAGAACAACCTCTCCCCCACTACCAATCCATTTGAGAAAATTTTCTTTTTTTTTTTTTTTTTTTTTTTTTTGAGACGAATTGAAATATTTAATAAATATCTAATAAATATCATAGGATATACTACTATACATGCTCTTAGTTTTAAAATTTTCAGTTTGAAATCTTGATTTCAAATGAATATAAAATTCAATTAATCACAAAATCTGAAAATCAGGTCCATGAATTCAAATTCTAGTGACAAGAATACAATCTACCATATGAAATCTAAATAGGAAAAAGAAGTTAACTAACTAACTAACCAGAATGTAGAGCAAGGAAGCAATGACGATGGTGCGAAAACGTCCGAGATATGAATCGGCAACAAAAGCCCCCAAAAGCGGCAGAAGGAACATAGTCCCCGACCACGCATTCACATTTTCGGCCGCCGAGGCCGTCGATTGGCCGAGCGGACCGGTCAGATAGCTTATGAGATTGGCCGATATGCCAGTGCACGCAAACCTCTCGGTGACTTCTACACCTGCAATTCCATTAACTCTTTCTAGTTTGAAAATCCATCTGAATCAATCTATCTCATGACTTGAGTGTGTGTGTGTGTCTTTGTGTTACCTATGATGAAAGATGCAGATTTCCATCCGCCGGAATTTGATCGGCTGGCCGGACGACCTTTGTAGTCCACGACGGCGCCGCCGAGCAGTGGAGCTTCGCCCTCTTCGGCGATGGCTGAAACCGCCATTTGTTCACCGCCACCACGCTCAGCTAAACGAATGCAAAATCAACTACCGATGAACTTAAATTAAAAATATTCCAAGGGAGAGATTTGAGTCGTTACTTTTTTTTTTTTTCGGAAGTTCAAAAAAAAAAAATTTTTTAAATAAAAAATAAAAAAGTCGTTTTCTGGTACGTGTTTCATGAGTTCACGAAATTGTCTGATTTGGGGTAACATCATTGTTACGATAAGTCAATACTTTGAATGAATTTCTCGTCAAAAAAATAATATAATACCTAATAAATAATAGTATTATTTTGATTATGTGACATTATCATTCTAACAAAGCAACACTCATTACAAAAGTTAACGGATGCGGTAATTTTCTTTGCAATGTAACATCATAGTTAGGATAAGTCAATACTTTCAATGAATTTTTTGTCAAAAAAAATAATATAATACTTTACAATGTATTATTTTGATTATGTGATATTATCATTCTAATAAAGCAACACTCGTTACTTTGAAGATTCAACAAATGTTAATTCAAAATTGAAAGACTTAAAAACACTAATTACTCCGAAATAGAAAGAATTGGAGTTTATTTATAAATCTCATTGGCCTGGTACTAACGAGGTTTAAAAAAAAAAAAAAAAATCAAACTTAATGCGAATTGCTCAATTATTACCCGTTTGAGCTTAATATTTTGCATGTCTTTTACTTTTATTGGAGTAGTGATAAAGGAGTGATGGATCTAGATATTTTATTGAGGGGGCTGACATTTTAAGAATAATAAGATAAAAAAAATGTAAATATAATTCTTCTAAGAAAAAAACTTAATGTATGCAAAAATAATTTTGATTGATAATATTTTGGTTTGTCACCATTACAATTGTTCTCGGTAAAATTTTATATTAAATAAGAATTTCATACAAAATTTAAGAAAAAAAAAACTATGTACATTTAAGCGACACTGTTTTGTAAGAAACAAATACGGTGTGAAAGAAGAAGAAGAACAGATGATTAAATTACATCAAAGAATATCAGTGAGGCAAGATTTTTTAATTATAGTTTTTGTCATAATTTCAATAGGGCGATTTACATAAGTTTTCAAAAAATATAAGTATATAATGCAAATAAAAAAATCAATTGTGGCACACTCATGTGCTGTGATGGACTGCTCCATACTCCCTTTTGTCCGTTAACTTAGTCCTTTGTCATGTTCCGCGCTAAGAGGTTCTGGTGCAGGTACCAGTGGCGTAGTTACAGAGGGACAAGTGGGGGCAACTGCCGCCACTGAACTTTTAATTTTTTTTTATTAATTTTTTTTTTATGGAAAGATTTATATATATATATACTAAAATTTAAGAGTGCCACATATATTACTATATATATATATATATATTCAAAAGCTCGTTCACGGTTTTACACTTTTCCACAAAATATAATATTTTTTTCACTTTCCCAAAATAATATTTTTTTGACTTTACCACAAGCAATTGCATTGTTTCCATCGCATTTTCAATTTTTCAGTCTTCAATATTTTTTTTTCCGTGAGTCTTCAACATTTCACAAATTCACAATCCAAAAAAAACAAGCGGAGCAACCATACTACTTTACCGGTAGACAGAAACTCGGTAAGTCGTATTATTATTTTTTTATCATCTAAAATTACAATTATTATTTGATATTATAATTTTAATTAGAAAAATTATTAGATATTTCTATCAAAATTATTTTAGGACTTGTTCTTTCAAATTTTAGTTTGTGTAATTGTGTTACTAATTATTATTCTATAAATATGACTTAACATTTTTTTTTTTTTTTTGTAGGCTTGTAGCCCAAATCAATGAAATCACATATTCACTTACTCTATCAAATTTTGCGATTGATTGAATTATATGGTTTTAACTTATAAGGTTAGTTATCTTCATATCTTTGCTTTTTATTTTATTTTTAATATGAATGAATTTTTATTATGAATTGATTGACACATGCTAGTTATTAAGAATGTTAAATTTTTTGGAATGAAATTGGCTATCAATTATCATGTAATTTTATTATTTTTATTTATTACCATGAAATTGGTAGTACGGTCGACAATGATATTATTATTCACCTATTATTCAAGGCTTTTAGTTGTGCAGGCACAATGGTACAACAAATGACATGAGTAGATTGCAAGAATTCAAAACTTTCTAAATTTCTCGACACAATTATAAATGTTACTGAATTTCTCTATAGTAGTGTGGAGTTGTCTAGATCTATATATAATTCTATAAATATATTTAAAATTATATATAATTGTAAAGAATAAACTAGAACTTTCTAGAATACATAGTCCAGTGTAATATAAATTATTCAATGGAGAGTTCTAAAACCCCATTTTAATGAGAACTCTCCCCACCTTTGAATCATGAACAACTTTACCTATCTGGACCATTTATTGTAAGGTCAAGTTCCTATATAAGGAGCTAAGCGCTTATTTTCTCCTCGCCAAACTACTATGTACTGATGAACTTAAAATATTTAAAGAGAGAGATTTGAGATTCAAAAAGAGCATAATTGTAAGAAATTGATATGATTGTAGATTTTATTTGTATTTTTTACTTTGTTTAGAAATGACAGGTGTTTATAGTGGCTTTCAAGAAGAGCATAATTGTAAGAAATTGAATGATAAATATTTAAGAAGGGGGGTTTACGATACATAACCCACCCAGACTAGGTTTTGCCACCTACTCGGTCATTAACAAAATGGGTATATATTTTTATTTTATTTTTTCTTTCTTTTGAAGCTTAATGTATCAAATTGTTCTAGCCATAAAAATACAACTATATAGAAGCAAATTTACAACTATAGAAAAGCAAATTTTGTATACTTATACTAGGTAGCCAACTTAGTCGATGTAAGGGATTGTGGTTTAGTTTTATGATAACAATTTTGAAGAAATCAAGAATATAAATATTTTTAAAAAAATTATAAAAAGACAAATCTAATTCATAACATTATATTCTAAATTTATTAGAGTATTATTATTTTGGTACCGGGCTAAGTCCTACCTTGGCATAATACTCGAATTAGTCAAGTCAAAATTAGATTAAATACTAAGAGTTGTGATTTAGTAGGTAGTGTCCAAATCTAGGGATGGGTAAATGAGCAGGTTTGAAGTGGTTTCCTTAAATTCGTACATGTCTCATTTAATTATGGACAAATTCATGAAAAATTATTAGATGAACCTGAACCATTATTAACATGTAATAAACCAGTTAAATACAGACTCACGGATTAAGAAAATGGTTCCACAAGAATATATTAATAAATTACAAAGTTTCATGATCGGAGAGTTTTCATTGAATTAGTCCACCAATTGTCAAATAGACCAGGACAATCTATTAATTTCTCCAAATTCATACTCACCACGGATTTTAAATTCACAATCTATGCCCCACCCCGTTAAGAGACGAGTGTACTTGTGCTCGCCCTGTTTACATTTTTTTTTTGCTTTTTCTTATCGTTATCTACAAAAAAAAAAAAAAAAAGAAAAAAAAAAAAAGGGTTAAAATCTATAAATTCTATACAATGTAAATAATATATATACGTAGTATATAATTTTTAAATATATATATATATATATATATAAATAGCGAAGTGGGGCGGGGCATATGTTTATCAAACCTGTAACCGTCCGGTAACCCGCGACAACTTTAAAATCCTAATTTACACTGACCTTTGTAGAATGTGGTATTTAAACAATTTCCATATCCATGCCATTAGAGAAGGGCGGAGTGGTACAAAATTACCATCCGTATTCAAATCTCCAAGAAAAGTATGTATCTGCTAGGAAGAAGAAAAAAAATACATTTGGTTAAATTTAGCTTAGCTCGATGAGGCTATAGCTGGTAATATTTTAATTATATACTAATATTAATGCTAACATAAAAAAAAAAAAAAAAAAAAAATTAAAAAAAAATTACAAAACACAAAAGAACAACAGATATTGACAAGATCACGTCATATAAGACCACGTGAATATGTATATTGGTTATATTTGCATTAAATTGTTTACTTAGCTTTAAGTAGCATTACTTATTACTATGATTATACAAGCCAGATTCAGAGTTGTTCTTGGATTGTCCAACACATCTCTTCAAGCCTAAAACTTAAATGAACTAAAGTTCAATACAAACAGAAAATAAATGTATTGCATCTCTTCAAGCCTAAACTTAAATTGAACTGAAGTTCAATACAAACAGCTAAATTAACCATCTTCAGTAGTAATTGTAGCGTGTTGAGTCCATTGGCCTTTTTGTCCACCAACTTAGCCCATGCTTTGAATGGGTTGAAATGCTAAATTTCGATTGGGCTGAACATGAGTAAACCAAGGCCAGGAACATCTGCAACTTATTGAGGCCACTCTCTGTCTGTGTGCTCTGTGTGACAAGTAAGGGTGCACAAAAGAACCGTAGAACTGAAATCGGAACCGAACCGAGCCGGAACCGAAATTCCGGTTCTCGCGGTTCCCATTCCTAAAATAAGGAACCATTGAGATTTGGTTCGGTTCCGGTTCCGATCTCACGGTTCGGTTCCGGAACCAAACCGAACCGATATATATATACATATATATATATATATTTGATTAAATTATTAATATTAGTAACCTAATTTTTAAAGCTTTAAAACAAAAAATTTTAGGGCAAATCATTTCAGCCTCCCCAACTCCAAGCGCCTCCATCTCTATTCTCATTCTGTACTCTGAACTTGCCCTCCTCTCTCTCTGTCAGTCTCTCTCTGCAACTGCAAACTACAAAATCTACAAGAATCAGAAGTTCAAAACCCATATATTTCAGATCTACAAAATCTACAAGAATCAAAAGTTCAAAACCCATATATTTTCAGATCTGTCTGCAAGAAGTTCAAAAAATCAAAACCCATATCTTTCAGTTTCCATCGCCCGCTGTTCTAGTTCGGGTTGGCCTCTGTTTGCAAGCTTCAGCCGTTGTCTCTCAACTCTCAAGCTTGCCCCTCTCTCTCTGTGAGACTGCTAACTTGTATGTATGGGTTTTGTTTTAATTTTTTTTCTACTAATCAAGGTC